TGGTTCAGGGATAAAAGACACTTGCTGCTCTTCCAGGGAACTCAGCTCTGATACCCAGCACTCAACTGCAACCATTTGTAAACACGGCTTCCAGGGAATCTGATTCCCTCTTCTGGTCTCCACAGGTACCATTCACATACATGGTACACAGATGTTCAGGCAAAACACCAATACACATTTTTTAATAAAAATAAAATGGGGTATAAGAGAAGAAATATTGCCATCTGGTGGAAATGATAAAATGCAGAACTGAGAAATCTTACAGAGTAAAGCACTTTCTGTTGTAGGACTCCATAAGGAAACAAGACAAGGTTGCTCTATTCCCAATCTACCTGTCACATGACATTCCTTGAAACACCTACGTCTATTCATCCCAGTTAGATAGAGCACCAATCGACCACAGAAAGTCCAGCTTGGTGATTCAGTAATCAGGGGTGCTATGAAAGAACCATGGATGATTCAAAGGCATCTGAACCAAAGAGTTCCCCGCTTAACTGACAGGCAGCTTTAATAACAACTGAAGAGTCCCTTCCCCATTCCCAGACCCCGCAACTGTTTCTTGTCTGTGTAACCTGGGGAGTGTGGCTGGTGAGCCTTCTCACTTCTTTGAGGCAATATTAATACCCTCTCTTCCAAGAGTTGTCCAAACTATGATGAATCACCATAACCCTTGGGAGTGGGGTGGTTTGAATACAAGTCACCAAGAAGTGAAACTGTTGAGAAAGATAAGGAAGTGTGGCCTTGTTGGAGTAACTATGGCCTTATTTGGGGGCTCTCTTCAGTTTTCTGAGGGTTAATTCATTATCATCATGGTGGGGATTGTGGCAGCAGACAGGAATGGTGGAATGGTGGGGAGTGTGGTGGAGGAAAGAAGACATAGTTCTGGAGAAATATCTGAAAGCTTTACTTACTGGTCTTCATGGAGAGAGAGAGAGAGAGAGAGAGAGAGAGAGAGAGAGAGAGAGAGAGAGAGAGAGAGAGAGACTGCTCTTGTTCTCTTGATTTTGGCTTTTGAAACACCAAAGCCCACTCCGGTGACACATTTCCTCTGAAGTTTAATAGGCTTTTACACCTATTAAAAGCACAGGAAACTTTTCTTCTAGGCTTAGACTGGCTCCAGTCCACAGCTGCTCCTGTCCCTGGAAGTTTTCCCATGGTACTGGCATATCCAAAATGTTGAGGCCTCCTGTAAGTGAGCTGCAATTTGACCGATACCTCTCTTGAACTTTCTTCATGGTGCCAAGCTTCAACTCTTCTGTATGACTAACTGCATTAACTCTGGGCTCTCGGCTGCTACTGAGGCTGCACTTTAACCAGTAGCCTCTCCTGACACCTTACTGATCCAAGACTCAGCTACTCTCCATGAGCCCTTCATGCCCAAAATCAGTATCAGCTGGGAGACTCTTACACATGACCAATTCTGGCTGCCAACAGGAGGTACAATCTGGGCCCCCTTGGAACAGAGCTTCTGTGCATGGACTGTAAGGAAACACTCCCCCTCCCAGAAGATTTCACCTCAGTGGTGGTGATTTCTTTTTAATCCCTGTTAATTTCTCAGCTCTAGTTGACCCTCATAGATTGTACCAGCAAAACAAGGGGTTCATTTCAGTGGTACTGGCCTCTTGTTAATGACAGTTGATTCTTCATCCCCAGAGGACCACACACCACAGGTTCTTAATCCAAAATTGTGATACCCCAATAAAGTTTTTAAAATTCCCACTGAATTTAACAAGTCTAGAATGGGTGTAGGTTGCCATGAATCAGTGAGCATATGTTGGGCAGAGAATGCTGAATCCATGGCCATCCCATCTGGGAACCCACCTTTTATAAAACTACATGAGAAAGAGGCTCTAATGGAATCATGCAATTGTATACAGATTAAACTATAAACAATGTTTCCCAGTTACAGGTTATATAGGAATATTAAGAAGATGATCAGTTTTTACACTAAAACAGAGAACTGGTAGCTTCTTGCATGAAATTTTATCAACTACTCAAACAATTAACCCCAGGAAATCAGAATTCCCCCCAGGAATCTTGTACTGGAAGAATGGAAAGCCAGAAATGTGTAAGAATAGACATGCTTCAGGCCAAGCATGTTACCATATGCCATTAAGTCCTTGCATTCAGAAGAGGCAGGCAGATCTCTGTGCAGTTGGACAAGTCTGTTATATAGAGAGAGCTCCAAGTTAATCAGAGATAAATTGTGGCACCCTGTGCCAAATGTGTGTGTGTGTGTGTGTGTGTGTGTGTGTGTGTGTAGTCTCTTCTAATGCCACATAGATTTCTTTTGCCAGTCTGCTTTTCAGGTGGCTGTCCCCTCCCCCCATGGGTTGCCTTCTTTCCCTGGATGCCCTTACTGGGCCACCTCGACACCCCCTGTACCCACTCATGCTGCTGCTGCTGCTGCTGTGCACCCTGAGCCACCTCCTGCACGAAGCAGCTTCAGGTGCCCTCAGCCCAGTCCGTACAGTGCAGCAGCAACCCAAAGGGATCCTAGGGCCTGCCTTGCTTAGTCTGGCTGCCTTGACTCTTCCCCCCTCTCTAGTCAAGCACTGCTCCTGCAGCTGGCTACGCCCAATCCCCCTGCATGTCCATAGCCATAATGAAAAGTCGTCAGATCTAGTGGGACACCTGGGAAATATTAAGGAAGGAACTCAGTTTTATAGCTATACAACATTTATATATTATATATATTATGTCAATATTTATTAATATTATATCAATATATTTGTATTATTATAAATATATGTTTATTAATATGTTTATATGTAATATTTGCATATAAACATTATATATAAATATGTATTTCTCACATTAAGAATGGGAAATATTAGAATTCAGAAAGTTAGGACTCTGTATGGTTTCACAATAGATGTATGGAAATGGAAAAATTAAATGAAGGGATAACCAAGTTAGCTAGGATTGACATAATACAGATATAATTGTTTTCAGTCTGGTAATTCATATTTTATCCTTTAAAAAGTGGTTTGATATTTGTGAAAATATAAAAAAGTGACTGACAAGATAAAAGTCTTAGAAAGATATACCAGTGAAACTAAGTATCCACACACAGAGAAATTTAGATCAGAAACTACCTCAGTATCCCATGATGAAACTCAAGAAAAAAAAACCAAAGTTATTAGAAAACCAAGCTTACTTTACCTATTTTCCATACGAGAATGATCACCTGATGAGAGGTAGCCCCATAGCTATGCAGAAGTTAGCTGGAATCCTGTAGAAATGTTAGATTTGGGAGATTCAAGGAGGCAGTCATTCCATATGGTATGCAATCACCCCAATAAAAGCAGATGGTAAACTCATAGTCAACTCAAAACATAACTGTCCTTCAAGGCTGAAAAGATTTACATCTAGCGATATTGGATTTTAGTCCTCAGTTATAATAGAAAACGTGGTGAGAAGAGAAAGCTAGGGTCATAAAAAAAGATATAGAGTTAAAGGTATTGCTATTTCCCAAGATCAGTCTCTCAGTGAAGGTCAGTATACTGATTTGCAAAGACAGTTGATGATCAGACCTTCACACCTCAGTCCTGTGTTCTATAGCAGCTTTATTTTTTTTTTTTTCTGAGACAGGGTTTCTCTGTATCTTTGAAGCCTGTCTTGGAACTAGCTCTTGTAGACTAGACCTGGAACTCACAGAGATCCGCCTGCGTCTGCCTCTGCCTCCCAAGTGCTGGGATTAAAGGTGTGCGCCACCACTCAGCTCTATGGCAGCTTTTAATGCTTGGAACAGAGTTGAAGAATCAAGAAAGAGGAATGGGTGAGTCATTTACTAAAATTATTCAAGGCTCGAAATAATCCTTCACTGATATTTTGCAAGGATTGACTTCAGTTGTAAATAGAATAATATCAGATCCAAAAGTTAGACAAAGGTATTAATGGAATCTTTGACTTTGGAAAATGCTAATTCAGAATGCAAAAGTACAATTAGGGCTCTAAAGGCAAGATCATGCGTGACGATGGATGGATCTGAAGAACAGCTGCTATTGGATCTCAGTTTTTGTGATGCTACTTGGATAGGAGAAATGATTTCTAAAACATTTTAAGAAAAATCAAATATCAGATGCTTTAATTGTGGCAAGCAAGGTCATCTGAAAAGGGATTGTAGGAAAGGAATTCCTAGAAACAATGTTTTTTCTAGAGATAATCCAGATAGCTTAACCTTCTGGAATATGGAGAAGTTTTGCTAAAGGCCAGAACTGGATTAGTGAATGCAGATCAACAAGGGACAGGCAAGGTAACCCTTGGCCACCAGGAAACACCATAATAGAGTATCTCACAAGGGCTGGTATCAAATTTGTTTCACTCATTTCCTGTCAGCATTGGGGAAACTCATTCACAGAGGAAATACAGAAAATCATTAGGTCATACTACAAAAACCTGTACACCACAAAATTGGAAAATATAAAAGAAATGGACAATTTTCTGGATAAGTACCACATGTCAAAAAAGACTTTTCTATTCCTTGGCAACAAGCCAAGAAAATTATAAGGAAATGTCCTACTTGTTCTTTTTTTTTTTTCAAGGAAAACAATTTTTTATTGATTTTTATTGAGCTCTACATTTTTCTCTGCTCCCCTCCCTGCCTCTCCCTTCCCCTTCAACCCTCTCTCAAGGTCTCCATGCTCCCAATTTACTCAATAGATCTTATCTTTGTTCTTTTTATAAACAAACTCTACTAACTGCAGGAAGTAACCCAAAGCATACTCAAAGAAGAAAAACTTGGCAAATGGGTGTGTTTTATTTTGCAGAGTTTGGAAAATTAAAATATGTTCATCATAACATAGATACATAATCAGGATTTCAATAGACAACTTTAATTTCTGAAAAATCCAATTATATAATTAAGCATTTCTAAAAGTTATGACTATTATGGGAATACCTGTACAAATTAAGACTGACAATGCTCCAGCATATACCTCTACAAAAATGAAACAGTTTTTGCATTTTACAACATAAAGCATATTGATGGAGGTGGGTCTTGTATCTTATCTGTTGATTTCATTGGTTAATAATAAAGAAACTGCCTCGGCCCTCATAGGACAGAAAATTAGGTAGGCGGAGTAGACAGAGGAGAATGCTGGGAAAAAGAAGCTGAGTGAGTGAGTCGCCATGATGCTCCCACTCCAGACAGACGCAGGTTAAGATCCTCTCTGGTAAGCCAGCTCATGGGCTACACAGAATATTAGAAATGGGTTAGAACAATATGTAAGAGCTAGCCAATAAGAAACTGGACCTAGCCGGGCCAGACAGTGTTTGAAAGAATACAGTTTCCGTGTAATTATTTCGGGCATAAGCTAGCCATGCGGGCGGCCGGGTGCCGGGGACGCAGCCCTGCCGCTCCTATTTCAACAGCATATTACAGGTTGAAAGACATAAAAACTTAAGTTGTTTATCTAAGTAAATGCTTTAAGGCCTAAAGGATTATTTTGAGGTTGTTAATAGAAGTTATGAAAGAAAGTGAATTGGTTGCAAAACTTTAGACTCACCAAGATAGCCTAGACAGCAGAGTACTTTCTTTGAATTTGCCAAATATAAATGAACTGGACACTGTGAACCCTAATTCTTATTATTTGGTTTTACTATGTTAGAGTAAAAAGTTTCCTTTTAATTTAGACAAGGGGAAATGTTGCAGGGTATTTGTTTGCACTGACAGTATGTGATTGTTAATAAAGTTTAACCTTGAGTCAGAGGGCAGAGTTAGCGACCATCTGATCAGAATTGGCCATAGAGGTTGTGGAGGACCATGGATACATAGAAAGATAAACAGGAAGTAGTAGGATGGGCCTTAGAAAGATTCACAGGCTGTTTTGTTTGGGGAACAAGAAAGAGAGGTAGCCACTGGTTGCTTCTCTACCACTTCTCTAATCAACCAGGATTTTACCCTGATATTTGACTCCCGAGTTATTAATAATAACAAACTTAGATAAACTCTACACATGTTCCTCACAGCAGAAAGCAGATGGGCAGGGAATGGAGCAGTGGTTGGGAGCTTTACTCAGTGATCTGCAGGCAAGTCTGGGAGGGAGAGGGAGAGGGAGAAGAAGAGGGAGAGAGAGAGAGAGAGAGAGAGAGAGACAGAGAGAGAGACAGAGAGAGAGACAGAGAGAGAGACAGAGAGAGAGACAGAGAGAGAGACAGAGAGAGAGAGAGAGAGAGAAGAAGCTCAAAACCCACTTCCAATGACACATCTCCTCTAACAAGGCAACCCTCCGTAATCCTTCCCAAACAGTTCCACCAGATGAGGATCAAGCATTCAAACAAATGAGCCTGTGAGACCATTGTTATTCAAACCACCATACAGTGTCAGCACATCACATTATGCTTCTCGGTCAAACTGTCGCCCTTCCAATGACTGTTCCAGTTACTATTGTTCTGCTAGATTCATGAAGAGCTTATCAGGTGGGGAATAAAAACATCTTGTGCCATGAAATATATTTTAGGTAACAGTTTATTAGTACATCATAGAACCAATTTATTAGATTTGACCAGAATATTTTTGCCCTAAGATGAAAACAAAATTGAGAGAATGGGAATATTTCTCATGTGATAATGAGAATGCTGGAGTAGCAAGTGTTTGCTGCAACACCTAACATTTCTACATAGGTTTTGCCAATGCAACTCAGGCCCTAAAGCTTGCAAAGTAATCACTAGATTGACTGAATCATTCCCCACACACAAAATCAAGTTTTTTATTTATTATATATATACATATATATTCACACACTATACTATAGTGTGTGTACATATACACTATACATATACATATGCATATACAGGTCCTGATTTAAAACACATTCCACAAGAAGGTTCTATTTTTGAGAACATTTAAAACCTATCAAGTTATAGATTGATTGACTTCCAAAACAAGCTCAACAACAGCAATAGGTTAAAAGAATATGCTTACAAAGTTATTGTTAGTGTTTTTTAAACAACTTTGAAGTTGCTTATTTCCAGAAATAAGTTCTGAGTATATGTTATGTGTCTAATACTTAATCCGAGAGCAGGAAAGTGTGGGACAGGAGATGAAGCAGAGCTGCCCCTTGGCGCATGCGTCCCTGCAGTTTTCCATGCCGCAGTCAGTGGGCACTGCAGAGAAAAGGACACAGACCTAGACAAATGTGCTTCTCCCAGAGCTCAGTGTCCACCAGGTTTCCTCACACAGAAGCTGTTGTTTCCTAACACTGTCTGCAGATGGTGACTAAATGCTGCACAGAACCAACACGGGAATGCTTGACATAATCAAGTTTTCTTGGTTATCTGAGATGATGTCACTCCCATGACACTGAGGCTCAGGAAGGGAGGAGCCTGACTTTGCCCTCATATGAATGGTGATCCAGAGTCAGTGTTTCATGGACTGGGCTGCCCTGGGTATGTCTGACAGGGACCAGTTCTGACCTCTTTGTCCTCTTTGTCTTTCTACCTGGGCTTGTGTATCAACTGTTCACAACTCAACTTTAATAGGAAGATGTTAAGAGACAGAGATTCTTTCCAGTCTTCCTGTTTATGAAAAATATTGAAGAGTTATGAATAATATATTCTATAAGTTCTCCTTCCTTTAGAGATTAATGATATAGAAGATAGGGCCTGGGATGAGGTACACTCGTAGCTCTCTGGGTGCCGGAAATCTAAGTCTCCTCAGTGGGCAGAGTTTGGGAATATATACATATATATATATATAGCACAAAATGTCAGCTACATGTTTTCTTTGTTCTAATGATTCTTGAATCTTGAATCAGGTCCTGAGAGCCTAGAAAGATGACCCTTGCTATGTTCCACTTAAGTGCTCATATGTTGTGTTCTCAGGGTGTGGAGAGAGGAACATGAGCAGATCCCCATGGCTTCTACAGGATGACATTCTTCTACGCTCACTGCTGCCCATGTACACACCTTCTCCTCCGAGTGAAAAATCATCTTCTTATAGCTGCTTCATGTCTCACCCAGTTTAAACTATTCTCATCTGTACCAGCTGTAAAACAAAAGGGACAACACACAGAGTCTCCCTGGTGCTAGGTTCTTAGGAATGTTATTACTTGCTCTTAATTACAGACTTCATTAGCAGGCAAATTGTCTCAGATAATCACCACAGAGTTGTAATTATTAGAGTTGTTGTAATTAAGGAGAAAATAAATTAGTGTCTGCTTTTATCCCATACTACTCCAGCTAAGAAAGGAGTTCTTTTTTATTCAAGTTCACATGCTCATAAATTGGTCAGAACAGGGCCCAAGGCTTAGATTTGTACTTACATCCTCAGTTATGGGCACTTCCATGGTAAGATTTACTGAGTTAATATTGTTTGTATCAGCTATAATCTTGCTGTATACCAAGCATAGCAGACTGCATCACTTAGCAAGAACCCATTACTACTCAAAGATTTCCAGGTCAGGATATTGGCACTTCTTGACTAACTTACTTAGATGAGCAGGAAGTCACCTTATCTATTCTTGATGTAGGATGTCCTTGGTGGAACCAGGATGTTCTTCTCGGGTTAATTCTCATCCTCCAGCAAAGCAACTGGAAATTCTAATTGCAGTGAAAATGTCCAAAGAAGAATGGAAACACACAGGCCGAGTGAGGTCCATGCTAACACCCATTATACCATGACTCCCTTTGCACACTGGTGGCTTTTACTGGTCCCAAGGCAAGATCCAGTTTGAGGGGAGAGAAATTACTCCAGTTTTTGGAATAACATTGAAGACACAGTGCACACAATGTGGAATCCAGTGAAAGGGGATAGTAGACTGATCTGTTCTCACTCTTGCTTTCTCTCAAAGGGCAATAATAAACTCCAGTTGCCAGCGGAGGCCTAAGAAGACCAGCTAAACTGAGAAACCTGTGGCTTATTTAAGAAAATGTACACAGATCACACATTCGGACACAAAAAAGAAAAACAGTGCTCAAAATTACTGTAAATTACATAAGAAAGACGAAAGCATGGGCTGCGAGGTATGCTATCGTGCACTTTGGGTTGACATGGCATAGTCACTTGGGGAGTAGAACAGTGGAATTAATCATCAGGATTGGCATCAGTGATGACCAATGTGAGTCCAGATATTAAGTAGAAAGAGTTGCAAGTGTTATGTATAGAGATGAATTATAGATGCAAATGTTCATGCAAATGTGGGTATATATTTGTATAAGTACACTGTATAAATTTATTTATATATTCCCAAACTCTGCCCACTGAGGAGACTTAGATTTCCAGCACCCAGAGTGTACCTCATCCCAGGCCCTATCTTCTATATCATTAATCTCTAAAGGGAGGAGGACTTCTAGAAAAGTGACAAATCCCAGGAAGTTCAGGCAGCCTCTGCCGAATGCCTCTGCTGTCCTGACCAGGACTGTCTGTGGCACTAAACAAGCAATGATTGATTGTAGACTATGACACAGAAACAGGAATTCAAACGTTCAGACCAATATCTGTTGTAATGAGTCATTCTCTGTCCCAATAGCCAGCTCCAAAATAGCAACATGGAGACCTGTTAATTATGAAAGCTTGGCCTTATCTCATAACTTAAATCATTCGACTTATATTAACCTACATTTTGCCTCGTGGCTTTTTAGCTTTCTTTCATTCTGTCTCCATGTCTCACTGGCCTCTGACGTACACCGGATTCATCTCCCACTTCCTTTCTCTCTACTTGGAAGTCATGCCTGTAACTCCTACCTAGCTACTGGCCATTCATCTCTTTATTAAACCAATCACAGTAATATTTCTTCACACGGTGTAAAATATCCCACTGCAATCCATGTATAAACACAAGGGGGAGCAAGCATTTGAATGTTAACCTACGTGGGAGGTTCATAAAATTTCAGAAACTCACAAATTAGCAGCCAGATACAGTAAATAAATTTGTAATAGAAAACCAAGTAGAAACTTGGTAAGTAAGCTTAATGAAGATTAGTTTGTTAATGGTCTCAAAATGATGGGGTCTTTTGGGGTACCATCCCCAGACCCCTTCAAGGTCCAGCTAAGGCACTACAGCTGGTGAGTGGAAAGTAATTAAAAGAAATCTGAGAGGAAACAAATCAACTCACACAATTTTTCCTCAGCATGTCTCTTTATTGTTTTCCCGCTCTTGTTCTATTCTTCTGTCCTAACTGTCTGGGGGGCTTGGGGGATGGAGGTGGGGATTAGGGGTGGGGGTATGCTATGGGGAGGCACTATATATATCACCAAAGTAGCTCCGACTGAACAATTCGATGGGATTCGGATTGAAGACAGGACAGACACAGCATAGGAATGAGGAATGAAGGTCTGAGGTCAAGTGATCCTTCACAATCCCAAAGTAACACTCCAGATACATTTGTAAATAGAAGATGCCCCTATTTCATTACGATTAGGTGCAGGTATGTGGCAGAATCCCAGAACACAGCTACTCCAAGGGCATTGTCTTATTTGATAAGACTGACTTTCTCTTCTGCTTCGTAAAAGTGGATGGAGCACCTTCAAATTAGAGTATTTTCAAATCAATTCAATAAATATTTACTGCCATAGACTGTGAGTCAGATACTGTAATCAACAAAGAAAGGCAAAGGAGCCATAACACCACAGAGCCCTCAGTCTGTAGCATGATTAATAAAAACCCAGAGACAGGTATTGGGGTTCCACCTGAAGTTCAGAAAAGCAAAACAGCCAGCCACTGGCTCTTACCTCTACTCAGTCTGAAATGGCAATCCTGCCACCAAGAATCTCAGAATGAGACTGTGTCTGAAAGCTGTCTCCTCCCGTTTTATATTCCTCTCTAGGGCTTAAATTTCATGTGATTAAAGACCTGCACCACTACCACCTGACTTCTATAGCAAACCACAGTGGCTACTGGGATTAAAGGTGTGTAACCACCACCTGTTCTGTAAGGCTGGCCAATGGGGCTGTTTTACTCTTTGATCTTCAGGCAAGCCTTAGTTATTAAAATACAAATAAAATATGACTACATCAGTGTAGTGAAGAGTGGGGATTACATACGTGTAAATAAATTGACACCCAAAAGAAAATGCACTGTATGAATAAATACACACGTGTGCATAAAATCATAGCTATTAGCAACTTTGGGAGTGGGGAATTTTTTTTTAATATAATTTTTTATTGAAAAAAAATTTTTTTCCGCCTTCTCCCCGCCTCCCATTTCCCTCCCCGTCTCCCTTTTCCCCCCTCCTCCCTCTCCTCTCCCCCTCCCCCCACTCCTCTCCCTTTCCCTCTCCCGTCTGAGGGGCAGTCAGGGTTCCCTGCCCTGTGGAAAGTCCAAAGCTCTCCCCGCTCCATCCTGGTCTAGGAAGGTGGACATCCAAACTGGCTAGGCTCCCACAAAGCCAGAACATGAAGTAGGATCAAAACCCAGTGGCATTGTCCTTGGCTTCTCAGCAGCCCTCATTGTCCGCCATATTCAGAGAGTCCGGTTTTATCCCATGCTTTTTCAGTCGCAGTCCAGCTGGCCTTTGGTGAGCTCACAATAGATCAGCCGGAGTGGGGAAGTTTTGACAACATCCCCAGGATGATTCTTCTGGGCCTCACCTCTCTTATTTGCAAAGCAATGCTGCAAACTCTTCCCCAGTTTCTCTCCAATTTCTTCTCCTCCTCCCTTTTCTGGGGCAGGATGTGAGTTTTTGCTTTTTTTTTAAAAAAAGAAAAAACTGACCAGGTATCATTTTTTTAAAAAAAAATATTAATATGTAAAGAGTGTTCTGCCTGCATGTATGCCTGCAGGCCAGAAGAGGGGACAGATCTCATTATAGATGACTGTGAGCCACCATATGGTTGCTGGGAACTGAGTTCAGAATCTCTAAAGAACAGCCAGTACTTGCTCTTAACTTCTAGGCCAACTCTCCAGCCCCTGGGTATATTTTATAGGGACAACTTTTCCCCTTGGCTCTCTGGAAACATGATTGTTCTTTCCAGCTTCTTCCTGGTGTGCACCGTCTTTCATGCAGGGACGCCCTGGCTCTCCTATCTTCACTCTCAGCAGTATGGCATTCTTCTTGTTTGCATTTGCTATTTTTCTGATTAACTGAAATCCTCTTACCTGTAAGCTTACGTTTTAAGACAATCCGCATACATTTGGGCCATTATTTCTTCAAGTATTTTTTTTCTGAACCTACACTCAGCTGCCATGTTTCTTTGATTGTAGTCACAGGTTAAAACCATAGATATTGACTGACCAGTCATTGAGATTGTTAATTTTTTCAGCCATTTTTTTTCTCCTCAGGCTAATTTCGTTACCATCTTCTAGGAACAGTAGAGGAACATGGCTTTGTGAACATCTCAGCATCTGACCTAGTTCCCAGCTGGCTCCCTGCTTCAGATTTACCCTCCACATTCCCCATGCTTGTCTCAAAACCTGGCAGCTGCCCCAGTGAATACTGATGCTTTCTGGGTCACACTGTGTTCTTGTGCACACACCATGAACTGTGTGTTCTGCTCTGGCAAACATAGGGCTTTTCTTCTTAATAGTTACATTAAACTGAGCAAGAAAAAAGGAACAGCTGCAAGGGGTGCCTTCAGGAGCTGGTATGAGTCACTAGTGATGCCTACTGTAGCTACTAATCCAGGATAGAGGCTTCTCTTTGTCCAAAAGCATCAAGGACCAAAACAATCACAGCACCCTCATGCATATCAAACTACATTAAAAGACTCAGGGAGTCTCCTGGGGAGCCAGATGAACTAGTCTGTGGCTCTGGCTAGCTGGCCAATCCCAGGTTGGTCAGTTGCCTCCTGCTTGTGAAGCAAACAGTTTCTCTTCCTTTGCTGCCCACCTGAAAAACAGAATCATCCAGCCCACATGCTATGCTTGGCAAATCAAGTCACTATCCTCCTGAAGGTGATTTTTCTTTGTATGTCCTTCCTCTGTGTGTTTTTACAGAAGGCACCAATAAAGTTAGGGATGGCTCCAGGCATTTATCTCCCAGGCTATTTGATGGTTTCCTTACAAAACTCATAGAACAATATGTGTTCCCCATTGTCTAGAGGGGTAAATTCTAGTCAGACTAGAGTTTGGCAAACTCTTTTAAAAGGCTACCATGCTGTAGTCGCTGTAATCTAAAAATGTCAGAGGCTACACCAATGAAAGACTCATCTACACGGCTGCCTAAATAACACCTGAACAATGATTGGGGTTGGGATGGAAAGAACACGGGATGGAGAAATCTTACGAGGGCTCAAGCTTAGGCAAAAACTGAAGGCATCTGGGGAACATGAAGAGAAGGAAAGATGACCTCCCCCAGGGAACAGTTCTTTTCCCTAGTTGGTTATCCATTACCTAGTGGTAGCCTTGAGATCATTACATCCATGTTACATCATCTGAACTAAGTAGGTAGCACTGATGTACTTAGGAGTATGTATGTATATATGTAACAACTAAAGAAAAAGGTCATGAACTTAGGAGTGGGAGGGTATAGGGGAGGAGTTGAAAGAAATATTATAATTTCAAAAAATAAAAATATTAAAGAGACCTTAGGGTTTTTTTTAATATAAATCCACACATTTTAACATATTTATACAAATATCTCTCCCAGTCTGAGGTTCTTTTCATTGTCTTTTCTTTGACAATGACAATTTTAGAACGAATTCATTAAATATGTCCTTGAAATGTCACTTAATAGTAGTTTGCCTAATCCAAGGCAATATTTTTCTTTTCAGAAAGGTTTATATGTAATGCTAACTTCGATGTGAAGAAAAAAACTAAAGTTATCTTTTCATAGCCAAAATTCAATTATTTTATGACTAGTTACTGGAAAGATTAATATTTCTCCTTTTGAATTACTTTGGCTTCTTTTTAAATAAATCATTTGACAGAGTTCATTTTTTTCTAGAAAAAAAAATCTATTGTGTAAATCCCCATAGTCCACTCCCTCAAAAAGCATTGCACATACTAATAAAAACAGGCACCGACAACATCTCCAGGTTCTGGAAAATTACCACAGTCTTATAATTCAAGCATTTTTTTTTTTTTTTAAATATAAAGAGCAGTCAAGGCTAGAAGAGCAAGAATGGTTTTCTAATGGAAAATCACAGCAAGGAGACTACTTCCAAAGGAGACTACTACCTAGAAAAACTCAAAGAGGAAGTAACAGGCTTAAAAATTCCTAGGAGGATTTAGCAGTATTTATCAACAGGCAGGAGGAACCACTAAACTTGAAAATGTTAATGAAATCAGCTCCTCAGGCCAGAAGTGGGTGGAGAGAAAAGAGCAAAGCTTCACAGGTTTGAAAGCAGCTCTCTAAAGAGGCAGTGGGACAGTTTCTTTGCAGTCAAGGCTCAGGAGCATTTTACTGTGAAAACCACTGCATGTATGTTTAGTTACAGCGCGGTCATACATAACCAAAAATACTGTTGAGGCATCAGGAGCGCCTGGCAGCAGAAAGTGGGGGGAGATGTGTTTGCTATCTCAGGACATTCTTAGTTTTGGGTTGGTGGAAGGTACTGGTTTGCAAACATCCCTTAAGTTTTACACTTGGTAATAGCTACAAAGATAACTAAGCGTAGATAAGCTACAAAGATAACTAAGCGTAGATAAAATAATTTTGGCTCCGGGTCTGTAACTTTCCAAGCCTCATAACTGCAGGAGTTCTAACCAGTTAACTTGATCTACAGAGTAACGATGTGACTGAAATTTACACTTAAGCACTTAAAACTACACATGAACAATGTAGTGACACTATATTTGCCAAAACATCAGAAAACAAAAGGATTTTCCTTTAGTTAGACCACCACAATATTCTACAGTTGTGAAGGCTAACTCCTATAATAGAGCTTGTGAGGTTTCCTGGGTATCACCTAAAGTGGAGCAGGTTTTTCACTTTGTCCCCTGTCCCTCCCTATTCTTTTATATCCAGAACATTTAAATAGTCATGTAATCGTTACAGTTATTGACCATTCAGCAACAGCAACATAGTTAAACTTTTCCAAGGCAAGTTTGGAGAACATGGGACACCTGTGTTTTTCTATAACTCCACTTACAACTCAAGATGGCAAACACAGGTTAGGTGTGCCTAGCTAGGGTGATGAATACAGCATAAAATATGAAATAACGTTACACAAGAGACTCCTGTGTTAGCAGCTCACAGTTGATGGGTTCCGGTATGATTTCTGGGACCCATGTTCCTTTTAAACTTTCAGCTGTACCAAAGGGGCACATGAGACTGAGAAGCACAGGGCTAGGAAGAGCATGCCTGATGTGGGATGTCTTTCTGGCTATGTGTTGCTTTTATTGGTTGATGAATAAAGCTTCTTAGGCCAATGGCTTAGTAGAATCAAGTCAGGCAGGGTTTCAGAACAGAGATAAAGAGAATAGGTGGAGTCAGAGAGACCATGTAGCTGCCAAAGGAGGACACTGGAAACTTACCGGTAGGCCACAGCCTCATGATGATACACAGATTAATAGAAATGAATTAATTTAAGATAGAAGAGCTAACTAGGAATGTACTTAAGTTATTGGCCAACAAACAGTGACACAATATAGTTTCTGTGTGATTATTGGGTCTGGGCGGCCGGGAAACACACACAGTCTCTGACAGTCTGGATTATGTATATTATTGTTCTTTTTCTTTAAATTTCCTGACTGCAGAGATATTTGATTCTGAGGCTGCTAAGCTAAACCAACTTTATCTTGGCTTCAAAATCTGAGTCGAAGGCTATGTTACTTTGGAAAATAGGTTCTGCTTTTGATTCTATGGACGATGAGAACCTGTGGATTCCTTCCAAGCCAATGTGGTTTGATGTAACAAGAACCCCCAAAAGGTCTTTATAAACCCTAGAAATACTTCACCCAACAAACAGCAGGAAGCAGTTTTGAGGAAATTATGCCCAAATTCCCAAAATGATTGCTTTTAAATGTTTGCTTTCATTTAAAAGGGGTTGGGTATAAATCATTAATGGTCATAGTCAATTCTTTTTTAAAAAGGAGAGTATATAATATAGAGGCAAATATGTTGCATTGGTATGAATCTTGAACTACTGATACAAATTTAAGGTCAATTTTGTTATATGTATTTATGCTCTTATTTAAGGTATTGTGTTTGTGCAGCTCATTAAAAATGTAATATATAATTAAAATTATGGATTAAAAGTCTTTTACAATAGTCAAACTTGTAGTCATGTTAGGTTTTCTAGGTATGTATTTCAGCTAGATAATCTTCAACACTTCAAAAACCTACAAAATATGGCACTTAAAATGTTTTAAGAATTTAGACTTAACAGTGAGCCATGTCAGCTTTTGGCAACACCAATTATTTGAGAGAGGTTGATGGGCATTAATAAAAAACATCATTATGAAATTTGCCTTCAATGTGACAAGGCTAGCCATTTGGGTAAAAAACTACTCTTGCTTGGACTGGTTGATGGTATGCTGTATAAACTGGACATGCAGGACCCACAAAATTGTCTGCTAAACTTTCCAAAACACAGGATGGTCCTTCAGGGTTCCTGCTTCACACACACACACACACACACACACACACACACACACACACAAAACCTGCCAGACATTCTGCAGGGCACACAAAAAAGCAGCTAATAAACTTTGCCATTATAAGGCAAAACAGATCTTCAAAAAAAAAAAAAAAAAAAAGTCTGCTGGGTACTATGGGCCTGTAGATGAAAATGGCCCCAGAAGAACTTTGTGTGACTCTCCAGGCAACAAGATGTCTTTGTCAATTCTAAAACTTTGAAGTTGCTTATAATGTATTTCCTGTCTACTTAGGTAATATATCCTTCTGGGGTCTTTAAAGAGTTAAAGACAAATAGTTATCAGTTTTCCTTAGTTATGATAAAAAATAAAGTATAAAGCTTTAGACTCACAAAGACAGGACAGATAATAAAAATATTTTCCTTAATTTGCCAAACGTAAAAGGACTAAATATTATAATTCTGGCTTGATAACTGTTTGGTATATGTGATTTTACTATATTAAAGTTGAAACCTTCCTTTTTAATTAGACAGAAAAATGGGAGATGATGTGGGATGTCCTTATGTATATGAGTTGCTTTTATTGGTTGATGAATAAAGCTGTTTGGGCCAATGGCTTAGCAGAGTAAAGCCAAGTGGGAAATCAGAAGAGAGAAAGTGAAGTCAGAGAGACAGCATATAGCTGCTGAAGAAGGGTGCCAGAACCTTACCAGTAGGCCATAGTTTCATAATGATACACAGATGAATAGAAATAGATTAATTTAAGTAAGATGTAACAGTTAGTTAGGAATATGCCTAAGCTATTGGCCAGTGTTGTAATTGATATAGTTTCTGTGATTATTTGGTTCTGGGCAGCCGGGAAACATGCATAGCATCCGACTACACGTGCCTGAATTCTCTACTTGCAAGTCAGTGCTATTCACATCCAATTAGCCAGCACTAACAGGGTCCTGTCACCTAGCCACATAAGGACCAACCCCCAAGGTAATATAGTTACTAATGAATTATATTAAGGAAACTATTCATAAAAGGAAATCTAAGAATGAGTTTTGAGATTAGTACTCAATAAACCTAAAATTATATGCCTTGAAATGGTCTGGAGTCCACCTTAACAAAAGGTATCTACATTCTGGTGGTAAAACTGGAGACAGAGGACACACAAAAATCACTTTTATACACCTGTTCACACATTAAAAAAAATGAATTCATGCAGTTTTGCTTACTAATATAAGTGGGTTTAGACCTTTATTAAAATAGGAAATAAATATACATTTGTAGCCACCAAAAACACCACAACCAACTGATGCAGAAGCAGAAGTTTATTTACTTAAAACATTTCACAATTATATTGACATTTATTTAAAATAATATTCTAAATACTTACAAAAATAAATCAAGTATTGCTTCTATTTTTCAAGTGTGACAGTATTTGCCATAGAAAATAGAAAGGACCTTTTTATAAACTAAACACTACACTGAAACTTCCTCAAGTTTAATAACTACACACTATTTCCTCTGATGATTTGTGCTTTAAAATGTCCAAACTATTTCTGTGCAACAAACAGGATCACAGTAAGACTGTATGTATAACAAGCCATATACATTCATTTCTATATAAAATGATACTCCTCTGACCTAAACCACCATTACGCCCAAAAGGCCAGATGTCCCATTACACAGAAGTAGGAGTGTGTGTGAAGTGTTTAACATCCAGTCAGCAATGGCTGACCAGATCTTACTAAGGGATACTCAGCTAAAGGATGCCAGGCAAGACATTTTTAATTTATACTAAACCTTTAGTCTTAATTATTGAAAAAAATAGAATCAACTTCAAATATTTATCAATACATTAAGTTAATCCCAAGACAAACAATTTGTCATAATTATATCCAAAAAGAGAAAGGAGTATCAATTCAAGGACAACTGCTTGAAATTCAAGATTGTTTATAACTGGAACATAAATTTTTCGTCAATTCCATGTTTATTGTCATTCGATCCTTCCTGAACACATTGTAGAAATGATGGTTCCAGATGAAACACGTATGCTTTATACCTGGCAGGGCACCAGTATCACTGCAGTAGCCACACACGGAAAGAATCTCACCCTGATTACTGCCTGCCTGAATTTTTTGTGATTAGTCTCAATTATATAGAACTTTACATAGTTTTGTATAAACACGTATCAAACATTTGAAAGTCTACTTAAAACTAGAAAAATCAGAAAATTTGCTTTTTCTTTATTAAGAAAAAAAGAACCTATCCTTATGTCCTTATTTATGCTACATTATTTAGAAATTTATGAGCAATTGCACTGGAAACAGTAATTTATTGAAGTTGATCTTTTACAATAAGTTCATTAAAAGGGGATTTGTAAAATCTCAATTATAAGCAATTACAAACACATCAATATATCTTCAATAACAAAAATATACCCAAATGCCACAATTTTTAGAAAATTTTAAATAGCATGCTAAAGTATTTTCAAAGTCTTATTTCACTAAAAGACATGGGCAAGCAGACAGCCTAAGAACATACAAAAACGCAAACAACAGTTTAAATGCACAAAGCATCAAATCTAAGAGGTAGTCAACAGAAGGAACCCTGATAAAACAAATTATCCCGGCAGATGCTGCTAAAGACCCCAAATCACTGTGAATTTTTTTTTTTATTTTTAAGTGGTTAAAAAATTAGTGGGCAAGAATTTAAAGGCAGTTATCTACACGAGTTAACACTTCAAATAGAGCAATACTCATATTTATGAAGGACTAAGAATAAAACGGAGACCACAGCTTTATAGCTCATCAGCTCAATCTGACTTACACCCATTTGGTTCACATCTCCTCTTTGGTGGCACGAGGGGAGGGAGATGTGAGGAGCCGATCCAACAAGGAGGGAGCAGCCCACAAGCACAACCCCTCACAGAAGCCTGCTGGCGTTCACTGTACACAGTGCTGTGACATTACTGTTCGCTGCTGCACTCCTGCACCACCTGCTTCCTCTCTAGATATGAAATGGTGCAACACTTCTTACTTTTGTAGTCTAAGGATCAAAGAATTTTTCCAAGTTACCAAGAAAAAAAACAAACAAACAAATAAGATTTCCTGTGACACAATGCACGCCAGAACTCTCAGCATGATGGAAGCGTGCCTACGCAGTGCTGGAAATGTGTCTGACACAAGCACGGGCCACTTGTGGCTACATCAGGCAATACTGATTTAACAACTAATATTCCAAAGTGTGACTTTAAAAAGTGACCCTAAACTAGAGAGAAACCTCTCTGAAAAGACCAATGCTGGGCAGAAATGACCTGAACGCCACGAATCCAGCTCCAGACCCTTCCCAGAGGTAAGCAGGAACTGAACCAGTCCTAAGCTGTTACATCATTGTTCTTTTCAATGAGGCAACATTATACATGATCTACCCCTTCTTAGAAAGCAAAGGCTACAACAACTTCATGCTCAAAAGCACGTGAAAATTCAACATGTATTCTAGTTTGCTTTCCAACAGAAAGTTCCCTTTTACAACACAGCTTACTTCCCACTTTAAAGTCCCCGTCAAGCCCTGCAGCCTTCATCCACAGCACTGCCTGTGCAAACTGAGATACATCTCAGAGAAACTGCGAATGTCTAGTCAGTCACTCCGACAGGACAAAGTCACTCCAATGGTAAAATCTTCCAAGTGGTAGAACTTCCTTCCACAGCTTGACAGTCTCCTCTTGAGGGCAGAATTGGCAAGAAGAGGAATGTTCTGTACACACAAAGAATCTGCCTTGCACAGGTCTGCTCTACCATGCCTTACTGCTTCCCACAAGGCAAATCTAGATGTACTACTAAATTACAAATTAACTGACTTGCTGTTACAACTAGAAGCGTAAAGCTGGAATACGTAGCTGCTTTCCCATGATGCCATCTCAAGACAAATATTTGCTTTATCACACTTCCATGTACTCAAAAGTACTGCCCAGAGACAGTTGATTCTGTATTTTGTAGTTAGAGTAAACTTAAATATTAATTTGATATATATTGACTTAAAAATAGTTGATACCAATACTGGGAATGTAGATCAGCTGGTAGGTCACCTGACTTACAGGGCAGGTTTTGATCCCCAGCACTATGGAAACCAGCATGCAGGAAGTGAAGGAAGGACTGATCAATGTTCCAGGTCATCCCTGAATACGTTGTAAATTCAATGCTAGTTTGTGGTATAGGAGACCCTATCTCAAAACAAAATCCAAACAAAACTAGCTGATACCAAGCATTTTAACCTTTGTTTTTCGTCTGGTAGTTTCTTGGAGTACAAAACATTTTGAGGCACTTCTGTTCGTGTTTGTTTGTAGACTAGTCAGATGCTGCGGCTGGGACTTTAACAGACAGGTTCCTCCGGGTGCTGGTGATGTGTCGCTGCTGTGCTAAGAAGGACCGAGGAGGAGGGCCCACACTGGTGTCTTTGCAAGCACCAGCGCCACTCACAAGCCGAGATTCCATGCCCAGTTTCTGAAAAGCCAGGCTCTGGGTAAAGAAACAGATAAATAACATGCAAAAAGTAATGTCATATTTACACCAGCCCTAGCAGGCCTTTCCAGCAAGAAAAAAATTAAAGATTCAAAAGTCGATTCTTCTATGTCTGACACTGCTGGGATGAAGACACTAAAAAAAAATCACTGTTTTTATTTTAATCCTCTTAATTTTTAATTTTAAATCGTTAAAAACAGCAGCCTAAAACAGCCATGCCAGAGTTAAGCTTAATTATAACAAGAAAAGGATACATCACCTCATGAACAAAGTACTCCAGTTTGGGCTACTGGTTTTCTTGTGACAGAAGGTATTTCTCTATCACTAGAACCCATAACACAACTGTATTGTGTTGATATAAAATACATTTCCCTCTATTCTTCTATTCTGGTCAAGGAGGTGATCAACAGGGCTCAACCCCACGCATCACTGAAGTGCACCATACCTTGTTATACCAGGCAGAAACAATGAGTTTTTCCTCATAGTCACGGAATTTGGCTACTTTACATTCACTCTGAAAAAAAACAAAAGATTAAGACAATTAAAATATCAGAAATTGCCACAAAGTATGGAAGGCAAAGTAATTTATTTACTATCTCATAGGAAAAATGAACTTGTGAGGTACATAAATTAGTCGAAATAAAGGAGTGAATTATGCAGAACAGAATCAAAACATCTTTAAGGAGGTCAGAAAACACAGGTCTGCTCTACCTCTATGAATACATTCCAAAAACAGCACCAACTCTTACCACTGTGTGAAAATAGTGCTCCTGTGAAACATTTTACCAAAAAAACTACAAAGTAATTACAGACTCTAACATAAAACTGTACAATGCCATGCTCTACTATTCATAAAAATGAAGTAAATAGTAGAACAAAATGCCTTTAATAGCTAAGAACTCTGGGTTCTTAGCTCAGCAGGTCACACCACGATGAGTAAAGGTTTATGAAGACTGATCATGAGTTAACGATGTTGGGCACCATTCTGTAACATGAGGGCCTGCTTGTTGGGGTTTCTGTCCCACCCGACACCGGACAGCAGGCAAGCCCCAAAGAAACACACAGAGATCTCCATAAGTTATAATTGGCCCATTAGCTCAGTCTTCTTATTAGCTCTTTAGCTTATATTAACCCATCATTTTTATCTTGCTTCTCGGTGGTCTGGGCTAGAATGGGAGGAATGGGCTTCCTCCTTTCCAGCATTCTCCCCTTCTCATTGCCCTGCCTCTACTTCCTGTCTGGTTGACATGCCTATACTTTCTGCCTAGCCAATCAGCGTTTTATTAAAATACATGATTGGCAGAATAGAGATAATTCTCCCACACCAGCAAATACGACAGAGGTTAATTCCCGAGATTCCAGGGCAGGGGGAGGTGAGTGGCAGCGGAGGCTTTACCTCTAGAATCTCAATTCTTCTTTCCTTCTCCGCCAGCTGTTTTCTAAGTAGCATTATTTCTGCTGATGCTGGATTTAATTTGGGATCTAAAGTTTTTATTACCTGTATAAAGAGAAAAATTATGTCCATTTTGTCTTTAAAAGTATCAAAAATATAAGAATATGTTTTATAAAAATTGTAACATATGCTCTCTACAAAGTCACTAGGCACTTACTAACAATGTAAAGAACAAAAGAGTGGAAAAACAACACCAAACTAAATGTCTCTTGTCTATGTGTTCAATGGCAGCTACTTAGCCTTTTTTGTTATTTAAACTTTGAGCCCTATAGTTTAGCTTTTTGAAGTTAATTTCTCGTTTTTATTTTGGGAGGTGACCTGGCCATGACCCCATACTCTGTTAAGAAGCCTTGTGCTTTCCACCTCATTCCACATAAAAGGCAGCCCTGAATAAAGAGCTTTCACTGCTTCCTGGCTCATCTCTAGGCATCTGTCTACGTATTTATATGTGCGCCATGTGTTTGCTCTGGACTTACAAATGCCAGGAAAGATCATCCAGTTTCCTGGAACTGGAGTTACAGATGGTTGTGGGCCATCAAGTAGGTGCTAGAAATCAAATATATTTGCTTGTTATTTCTGAAACATAACTGTGTTACATCCTATCTCTTTTTACATGTGCACTGCAGCCAAACGTGTGAGCTCTCCCACTGAGCTGCTGTCTCCAGGCCTAGCCTACAGTACGTCACCTCTAGGGTCTACACTGTCTCTTCTCATCCACTAGCAGACAGTGGTAACCTGGGGCTGTGCTGAGACCTGAATGACTGCATTGAGAGCCACTCTCACTCATGACTAGATACGCTAAAACTAGGACGGAAAAGGTCAGCGAAGCCTTGAGATTTGGGGTTCAACTTTTGCTATGGCTTATATTGACATTTTAACTGGTAAATATATGGAATCCAAATATTAAGACAAGTAAATATACTATTATTTTAGAGTTGCACCACCACGAAATTTCCTAATTACCAAATAGAAAAGAACGTATTAACATTCCGAGTTTTTATGTGGTATTCATGAAAATAAGACTATGAAAACAATATTTCACAGGTATTTGAACTAAACTATACAATAAGGAAAAGAAATGAACATCAGGATACTGTTTAAGTCTCTGAAATGTAAAATAAAGCCAACTGAGTACTGAGACTGTCTCCAAAGGTAAATAATTTCATTTATTTTGCTAACACTCTGGTAAATTTTATTCTCAGCCAACATGCTGAGACACTAGCACATAAGTAAAAGAGTTTATACCACAGCAGTCACTTTCTTTAGTTAGATCACTACTGCCATTGTTGATGACGTCCCTAAGGTCACATTTATCTGACACTAAGTCAGCCCGCGAGTGCAGGACTCACAGAGAAGATGGCAGAAACCCGACAGGTGGAGGAGAACAGGGACTAGGCTCAGACACAGACCTGTGTCTGAACCAGGGATGACCAGAACATGGGCACAAAGATCTGCTCGGCAGGGGGGTCACTCACATTTCTGGCTTTCTCTAAGTACATCTTGTATCTCTCCTCCATTGCTTTCATGTCTTCATCTTTCTTCTGGAGAGCAGCTTCAAGTTCACTGATCTTTTGGGCTATTCGTGAAAATAAAATTAAGCCAATGATCACATATTCAAAATACTTTATCCTTATGTAAAAATTGTACTTATCAAACTTATTTTCTAATGACTGATAAAGGAGTTTCCAAGAAAAAGCCTTTAATATCTTTTTAGTAATTTATTCTTATCTGAAACTTTTCAACTACAAGTAATGTATCCTCAACCCCTGCCAATAATTTAACCGTTTCTACTTTCCTAGCAAACATGAAGAATGTGAAGTCTACTGTTAACAACAACCACAAGGACAGAAAATAAGACAGTATTGTTTTACTCAGATTCTATATTATTAACTTGACTAGAATTTACAATGTTTGATACTCCTTTATATCAATCAGTTCATCTTATTATATTATATGCAAATGATCTTAGCTTTAAAAATTACCATGGTTCTTATGCAATGTGCACACAACACACTGTGTAAAGGCAAATCTATTTTCTTATCTGCTTCACTAGAAGGGTCAATCCTGAGAAGTATATCCAGATTTTACCCAAACTTACCATTCTGACTCATATCTGGCTGAAGGTCTTCAATGAGCTCCTGTTTCTTCTGTAATTCTTCATGGACTTCTGTTAGCTTTTCCCTAAGTAGTGGAGAGAGCACGTAGCTTGGTGTCAAACAGATGTTAGAATGAAAACTGGTCTTTGTCACAATAAGGTCTGGACTTCCGACAAGAATCTGTCTGATCTTTAGTTTCCCACAGGTAAAGTGGGAACCTATTCACCTAACTCCAGGTTCTGCTGTGTAGATGCACATAGTGACACATGGTGCACTCCAGCCTTTGCCTTTCCCTCTGCACCTCCACTTTCTACACAACTGAAAGGAAAGGCTGTACAGCTTTAGCAGCACAGCATCCACTGTGCATCCCCTTGGCTGGTCCATAAATGTCTGCTCAGTTAAATTTGTCAGATGATGTTAGCTGTTTAAAAATGCAGGAACTGGCGGCTGCCAGGCATGAGCGATTGATCACATCTTTTCTTGCCCTTGGTAGCAGTAGTGAGTAGTCTGGGCCTGTGTTTTCATTCACCAAGTCATTTTCCAGAAGCTTCTACAACCCTTCCCCTTTGAAATGGAACATCAGTTTACTTACATATGAGCTTCCAACTTCCGCTTTAGTTTGCTGGACTATAAAATTAAAAATAGTTGCTGTTAAGATGACTCACTTGAGAAGGGTAAATTTCCCAAACATTTAGATTTCTTCACTTCTTTTAAAGGTATGTTATGTAAAAATAATCTTCAAAACATGTACTTGTAATAGCACAGTTTCTAAGACCTAAAATTTTAGGTATATTTTCTACATCAAAAAGAAAAGGAAATAAAAATGGGAAATGAAGTAAAGAAAAGTAACAAAGAAAAATTCTGCTTATTTTTGAACATAATAAAAATTAAATGCGAACTGGAAGAAAAGTAGGAAATCCAAGCTGAATGTAACATATTGGGGAGTATCAAACATTTCAATACCTAATTAACAACTATTGAAAAAAATACAGATTTTAATATTTTTCTTATAAAAACCTTATCATTATAAATGAAAGCACTTGAACATCAACACTAAATGAGGCAACTGGATTTTTGTCAAAAACAAATATAAAGAATCAAGTTTCCTCCTTTAAAAGCAGTGCTTAGAACCACAGCAGCACTTCTGTATCAACGGGGCATCTGCAAAATTCCAGTAACATGGAAATCAATACAGTAAAATCAAAAGGAAAAGGAGCTGACAATCTTCAAAACACCTCAACCCAAAACACAGTACCCCAAATAGGCGCCATTTTAAAGGTATTCCCTAACGTGGCTTAGCAATACCTGTATTAGCGAGGATACAATACCATATATATGCACATATGAGATGCTGCCATGCATGAGATGACTTCTATGTTCCAAGCCCCCCAGAAGAAAGAAAACCATGTAAAGTATAAAAAGACAGAGGGAAATTCATCCCTTTCAATATCAATCTCTTTCCATCTCTCCTTACTTCACAGCTTCTACCAATCTACCTTTTCTTTTCTTTTCTTTTTCCTTTTTTTGTGCCTGTCCTGGAACTAGCTCTTGTAGACCAGGCTGGCCTCTAACTCACAGAGATCCTCCTGCCTCTGCCTCTCCAGTGCTGGGATTAAAGGTGTGTGCCACCACTGTCCGGCCAGATCTACCTTTTCTTTTCACCAACTGCATCTCTCTGTTTTCTTTCCCGCATACAGAAAAACTGCTAGATATGTCAAAATTCAGATTAAATCTCTTTTCAACTTCTTATCTCAGTCCACACTGTCTGAAATGCTTTGAATGGTGTGAAAGAGGGGAAGCAATAGAGACAATGTCTTCAAAACTGTGTTCCTGTCCTTCACACCTTTTCCAATTTCTGGAATGAGCTGTCAACTGGGATCACTTGTTTCCTATTAGGCAGCTTTTCCACTTCCGAGTGCTGATTATTCTCATTTCTCTTTTACTTCAGGACAAGCCTGGTTAAGATCCCTGTAGATCTGTTGGGTCTCAAAGTCTTACCACTATGAGTCAAGACGTAGAGAACTTAAGTACAAATTCCAAGCAGGACAGATAGAAATCACCTTATGATGCATATAAGCAATCTGTAAGACTTCAAGTTGGCAAAATCACTGCATCTATATACAGTATCCAAAGGTACCATTAATGAGAAGGGTACATTTTCAAATGCAGATAAATGGGTAGTGGAAATTATTCGAAAAAAACACATACAACAAGTTAAGACTCTCTTACTCACACTTTCGCCTTCAGCCTTGGAGCCCTGTTCTTGTAACGACTTCTGGAGGTCCTCAATTTGCTGCTGCAATTCTCCAATGCGCTCTTTGCTCAATCTGTTGTGACATGAGTTGGTATTTATCTACTCAGATTTGAAGTTAAAGCATCTGGGGTCTATAAAAGTACATCCATGCAATTTAATAGAAGTGCTAGCATAAATAAGGGCACGGCTCTTATCTGTGACAAGCACGACAGGTAGAACAGGATGTCACTTCTGCGGAAATAATTTAGAAAGAACTTTTCCCTTCTTAAAGAATATACATGCACATACTGAATGAGTCACACATCTATCATTCTTTATCACCAAAAGCTGAAACCTAGTATTTCCAGGGTTGGCAATACAGTAATAGTCATGTCTCTTCAGAACCGTCAAATGTACCCTATTTTACTCCCAGGAAACAAGGTTCAAGTGTCTGAACCCCAGTGGTCTCTTGATGATCTGGTAAAAGCTGGATAAACAAATCCAGCTGCACCTATCTCTATAGTGAGTATCTCCTTATACTCACTATACACTATAGGTAAGTTAGAAGACCCTCAGCAGTCAGGCTGGCAGACGCCTTCAATGTGGAATCCAGAGCTTATTCAGCTGTCTAAATTCAGTGAGCTTCTGACTCTCTCCATCTCCACCTCCTTATCCATAGAAAAGGTGATCACAGTCCTTAATTCCCAGTGAGGATTTATGAACTGGCCAACAAAAGTGCTTGTATGTAACTACTATTTATGAGGGTGGAAAGAGAGTTCAGCATAGAGAACTCGTTTGCCTGTCATGTAGGCACCCCTGGCAAGTTTGAAGCACAGAGGAAAGACATTATGGAAGACTCTGACAGGAAATTCATAGAAGTCACATTTAAGTTTACGGACAAGGAAAGCCCACTACATTAAGTAGACTCCTCCTGTGTCTACAGCTGAATAGTCTGAACTTGAGTAACTTGCTGAGAAACAGCAACTGAGTTGAGCAGAAGTGGAATTCTAATTGACCACACACAAAAGCCTAAGTTTAAACACCACATCATTTCCGTCCTTATGGAAGTATTATTCTACCACTAAAATACAAATTTCCATGTCCAAGAATGACCAGTAATTTTTAAATACATATGAATTTTTATGAGAAATTTTAGCTCACCAATATAAATCTCAGTAAACATTTTCTATTTAAAAATATATCTTTTGATCTGTGTTAAGTATTATTTTATATATTATTATTACTAAATTTTTTTTATGAAAAACTAAAAATTTAAAAATCTTGACTCTACAATCTGTGTCCTATCTATACACCCAACTGTAGGAACCACTAAAGCATCATTGGCTTATTTGTTTTCTTTCAGTTGTGAGGCTGTCTAGTGAAAATCAAACATAAGTATCCTGGCTAGCCAAGTCTATTAAGATGAACATTCTTCATATGTTTTATGCTGATATCCCTGAACTAATCCTTTGAATTCTTCATAGGTAAGGAACACCTGCCCAGTGCTGGTTCCTGCACATGACTCCTAATGGCAGCAGTCACCTTTGCTCAGTTTCCAGCTCGTTCATCTTGCGGTGCTTCTGCTCCAGCTGCTCCTGCAGCTGCTCGATGCGTTCATTCTCCTTCCCTTCCTGCTGCAGGCGAAGCATTTTGTTCTCATGCTGCAGTCGAATGAACACCTCTCTAATGTTGAAAAGCAATTTTTTTTCAAGTTTTAAAATAAAGTTCACAATATATTTTCAAACTGTTGCTACATTTATATACTTATTTTGTGTGTATAGGTATGTATATGTGTTTGTGCATACATGTTCCAGGGTACCCATGTAAATTAAAGGTCAGAGGGCAACTTGTGGAGTCAGTTCATTCCTTTACCACGTGGATCCAGGGACAGAATTCAGGTAGCTAGGGCTGGCAGCAAGTACCTTAACCCACTGAGCCAGCTCACTGGAACCACCATATTAGCTTAAGGGAGCTCCTATCTAATTTAAAAATATGATCAAAACTCTTAAAAGGTTTAAAGAAATACTGTATGTCCTGAAAGGTCACACCTCAAAAGTTAATTATGCAAGTTCCTAGATAATCTTCACTTTTAAATTTTAATAACCTCAGGAAAAGTAGCATATTTTCAGAATGTATATGATAAAAAAAATTGTAAGAAAACATTTTGCCTAAAAATCTTAAATACATTTTTATGATCACTAATCTCTACCTTTTTTTGAAGGGGGGTTCGAGACAGAGTTTCTCTGTATAACACCCCTAGCTCTCTGAAGACCAGGCTGGCCTCAAACTCACAGGAATCCACCTGTCACTGCCTCCCCAGTGCTAGGATTAAAGGTGCGTGCCACCACCACCTGGTTTCATATTTTTTTCTTTAAGAAAATCTTTTGTGTATATGTACATTTTCATTATTCATTCATCAGCTGAAGGAAATTTTGTTATTTTCATTTCATAGTTATTTTGATACTGAGCCTTTTGGGCATATGCCAAGGGGTGATTTATTTTTAACTTTATGAGATATTTGGCTGTAAAGAAAAATGAAATATTTTCAGCAGGTAAACAGTCGAAAGAAAAAATATAAATGCTCCATTTCTCTTATTTGTACTTCCAGTTCTGAATCTGCAGGAGTTGAGTTCACAATATATCTGGCATAACCACAGACACCTGGAAAGACTCCAGGCATGGGAATAGCAGACCATAGGTGCTATGAAGTAGTAAATGAGAAAAATAGGGAGGAAAGTAAGCTGGAAGGCTTAGAATACCACAGTCCCAGAGAGGGGGTGGTAAACAGAAAGGATGTTTTCAGTTGGGAGAATCCTCTTATGATCACCTAAAGCGGTGTATAACCGTGGGGGGTATGTATTTTCTTAAATGAAGTTATGCCACTTAGTGCTACTGTGCTTATCCTTTCCCAAGAACCAACAAGAAAAAAACAGTGTAGGTATAAGAAACCTCCTTTCTAGTTGTTGGTGAGAGGCATCTAAGAGAGTCCTAACACAATCTATGCTGTTGCTATTGCACTTGGTTGCCTCTCAGAAGTTGAAGGTAAAGTCCCTGTTGTGGAAGACAATAGGCACTTAGGACTTAAGAGGAACCCAGCAGAATTTGAGCTGGAAGTCTCCTCCATAAGAACTAGATCTTACAGTACTTGAAGCTGCTAAGAAAGCTGCCAAGCTGCCAAGAAAAGTCATCAGTAGTCCTACTCAGCTCTGGTGCTTATAGACAACAACCATCAAGGCAAGATGCCCCAAAAGATAGCATATTGGCACTTACATCTTGGTAACTGGACTAAAGGTCCACTCAACAGAATCTACTACTGACACTTCCTAAAATCAGTATAATCTTTAACTGCGTTCTTTTTCATTTTTTATTTGAGACAGGGTCGCACTATAGAGTGCTGATTGGCCTAGAATTCAAGAGATCTTCTGCCTCTGCCTCCAAAGCACTGGGATTAAAAGCATTTGTCACTATGCTCAGCTTTAAAATGCATTCTTAATACTTATCCTTATACCAAAACCTAAGTGTACCTCTTGCCCCTCAGCCAGCAAACTTCTGCAAATGCTGCAGGAGACCATTACAGGGAGGCACAACAACTGAGCGCTGACTCATGCACCCACAACACAATCCTACCATCTAAGCCCCTGGAACACGGCAGAAAATGTGGAGGGAAGATTCCAAGAGACAGAGGACCAAGCTATGTCTGCTGAGAAATCTTTTGTATGAGAACATGGAAGCTGCATGCATGGGATCTCAACGACAAGGCTGGCCAAACAAGACCTAAACAATGACAGCATCAGTTGGATGGGGGAAATCTCACAAGATGTGGATGATACGGCCAATTAAAAACTATTGGGAGAGAATCAGTCTTCTCCAGGAATGAACCTTTACTTGGTTAGTTATCCATTCCTAAATGGTCAGGCCCCAAAACACATACATATCAGCAACAGTAAATGGATGCAGCAGGTAAGATTTATTTATTTGTTTAATATATATACACATGTCAAGAGGTAACGGGTGAGTAGAGTACACAAAGGGGTGAGAGATGGGGAATGGTGTAAACACAGTAAACATATGATATTTTTAAATATTTAAAAGTTTATTAATTGTTTATATAAAGGCCTTAAAGTACTTTTCATATTTATATTCAATGTAATTTTCATTCTGATATTAAATAGGAAACTTATACTTTCTCCCTTTCCCAAATCTCATACTCCTAAAATAACTACTTTCAACAAATCTAAATTTTGTTTTAAATTACAAAAGCATCACTCTAAAAATTAAGCCTTTGAAAAACTGATTTCAGAATAACGACTGACTCAACAAAGGATTCTCGATTTATGTAACTACTCTGAGGTTTGTTAATGATACTGCTTTTTGTCTTCTTTATACTTTTATAACTTGAAATGAGTTACTTAACTTCTAAAGCAAAGCAGCTTTTGTTATATGAATTTTAGGCAGTAAGTTTCTTTTTTAACAACAAATTACATGAAAGCTTAGCAAGAAAAAGTCAGGTTATAAATTTAGAATGTTAGTTTGTGGGATGTTGCTTCTGATGTATTTTTAAACTGTTGTGTTAGTAAGTATAGTCTTATCTATAAAGTTTAAATGTGTCAGAGAGAATTTCAGGATTATTTGTCTGTATTATTCTAAGAAAAAGATCTGAATTCCAAAAGGACACCAACTGTTGGATTCTATGTACGTCAGTAATGAAAGGCAGCTGGTGCTGGTCACCTGGTGTGAGATCTTGGGGCATGGAGGACGGGAAACAACTGCTACTGGGTGTTGGACAGGCCATGTGGGTGTAGTGACAGAGGCTCTAACATCGGATAGTACGGGGACGGTCAGCGACAGGGACAACTCTGAGTACAGTAAGGGATGAGTTACAGCTTAAACTACACAAACAATAATCTGAGTTAATAAATAAAACCTGACTTGGGCGAAAGCCTAGAAATAATATTTTACAACTAGATAGGTAAAATGCCTACAAGTAAATCACACCATAAACAACCAGGATAAGAGACAGACTCAGGGGGAATGCCTACATCTGTATTTTGTTTAATTTGCCTACCACTACTGACAATGTTTCTATTTTATTTCACTCACAGGGATTTGAACGTCATATATTCATTATATTAGGAGTTTTCCAGAGTTAAAAAAATAAAAAAATATTTTAATAAATACAGACCTTGTCATAAACACTAGACTGTTACTCTGACAATTCTTAAAATTTTACTTATGATATTTTTTTAAATTGCTGAAGTAAAGATAACTAGAGAAAGTTGTTTTCAGCTCTATTATAATAATAAACTTTTCCATTAAAGTTTTAATAGACAAGTAAATTTTTTATAAAGACAGACTAAAACCAACTGGCACTTGTACTATTAGGTGTGGTTTTCAGTTCAAACACGTTACCTGTACTCCACTGGCATGATCTCAGCAGCGAGGGTCTCATAACTTTTTGTAGCAGACACATCTAAGCAACAGAAATCAGTCAGTGTGTCATCAGTACTTCAATCATTAGAAAAACAAATGTAAATCTGCCCAACTCACCAGCTTGGTTTAGGTGATCTTGCTGTGCTTGTGAGCACCGTAGCTCCTCATTCGTCTCTTTCAGAGTGTCACGCTGTTCTATCAGTCTCTAAAAAAGAATTGTTCTATTAGCAGTCACAACCCTAACAACAACCAGGAGCCAGCAGCTCTGTGTGTGTGTGTGTGCGCGTGTGTGTGCATGTGTGTGTGTGCGTGTGTGCACATGCTTTCCACACGTGGGGCCCAAGGACCAAACTCAGGTTGTCAACTTTGACGCCAGGAACTTTTACCTACCGAGCCACCTAGCCCGCCCAGAATTCACATTTTCTGATTTTAAAACTTGACTAAAAAGCTATAATGATCATGACTGATAGAGGGATACCAACACAGGGGCCGGGCATATAGATCAATGTAAGACAGCTGATAGGCAAGGCACATGTAATTTTTTAATTAGTAGGCTCTTTTTTTGGGTAATTTTAGATTTATTAGAAAATGAACAGGAAACCCCAAGTTCCTATGCATTCCATCATTTCTCTTCCACTGCCAGTTTCTGTATTTCTAATACCTTTGCACTGCTGTGACCTATGTGCCAGTGTGAGTACACATTATCAACGCATTCCAATGTGCGGGTGTGAGTACACTATTATACTGTATTCCAATGTGTCAGTGTGAGTGCATGGTTATGAATGCATTCCAATGTGTCGGTGTGAGTGCACTGTTATGAATGCATTCCAGTGTGTGTGAGTGCACTGTTATTAATGCATTCCAGTGTGTCGGTGTGAGTGCACGGTTATTAATGCATTCCAGTGTGTGTGACTGCACTGTTATTAATGCATTCCAGTGTGCAGGCTTTGCTCTTCCTGTCACACAGCCTATGACATGTATGTACCACAACAGGGTCAGGTACACTGACTCATAACAAGTGACAAGACAGCTTCAATAAAGAAAAAAGTCTTTGAATCAAATGCTGCTAGGACAGCAGACAGCAGACAGCAGCCTACAAGTGAGTCATTTGAACACTACCTCACATCATGGCGCACAGACTACATATAAGAGCCTGACTCTACACAAAGAGGTAAAATAAAAAACAAGAAAAGCGGACAGCTGTAACTGAATGTATATGGGAAACTTTTGCTGCAAGCAGGACTACTGTGAACTTGAGAAGACAACACACAGATTCAGAGACAACATTCAAAAAGTCGTTATCTAAGAAAGGACTTACATCCAGAGTATATTTTAAAATATGCTTACAAAATAAAAGCAAATAATTAAAGTGAATCATGGGAAGGATCTTAAGAACCATAAAGTACATATACTTGCACAAGGTCCTTAGCCATTACGAAAATGCAAGTAAAAATTCAGGTTCACTAGGATAGCTAAAATAAAACAACAGAAAAGTGTTGGCAGGCACACAGAAAAAGAGATTAAATATACTCATTGTAAGGCACTATGCCACCTTCCTTAGTATGTACTCCAGAGGAATGAAAAACACCACATAAAAACGTGTGAATAAACCAGAAGCAATATTCCTAACAGCCGAAAGTGGGATGAGTCCCAATGTCTACACACTGACGACTAGACAAATGAAACATGCTGTATCAACACAGGGGGCAACAGTTAAGAAGAGACAGTACACCATATGAAGCCTGAGCTAAAATAATCACAAAACTAGTCATGTCACTGCATGCTTCAGACACGCCAGGAAAATGCAGAGACAGCAAGAACAATAACAGTTCCTGAGACTGATGGGAAAAGACCAGACTGTATGCTACCTGCTATGTAAAGAATTTCTTTTTGGAATAACAGTATTCTAAAACTTGATTACAGTCATGGTGGCTCAATTCTATAGATATATACTAAAAGCCTTGTGTGATGGTTTCAATTTTCAACTCCACTGAACTGAAAAATGCCTAGAGTATCAGCAAAAGCACAGCTATGAGGTTGGCGGGGGTGGCACTTCAGATGAGTGATCGTGAGGGCTCTGAACTGATGAGTGGATTAATCCCTGGTGGATTCACATGATGATGGTATTAGATGGTGAACCTTAGTTGAAGGAAACAGATGGCTTGGGTCATGTCCTTGGGGACTTAGCTCTTGTCCTGGTCCCTTCCTACACTCCTTTCTCTGCCTACCATCCACCATGACCTAAGAGTCTCTTCTTCCAAAAGGTCACTGCTTCTGTGGTGTTTCACCCTACCACAGGCTTGCCAACAAAACAAGCCATTATGAATAAAGCTTCAGTAACTGATAAGCTAAAATCTAATTTCCTGTCATATATAAATTGGCATTTATTGGCATCCTGTCACAGCAATATGACCGCTAAATGGCACCCGAGGAACAGTATACTTTAAAGTAGAAGACATAGTATGTTCCTATATGCTAATAACGCTGTTGATGATCCTTGCTTTAAGGTAGTTGGCTGAAAACCTAGAATAAAAACACTCACAAACTGAGGACTGTGGCTGTGACTTCACTGTCTCTCCTGGCAAAGCTAACAGGACTGAATAAAGCATGTGTGAACACGGAGACTGCGTTCTGTTATGTGTTGTTTTCATTTCTATCATCAGTATTTCTCACTTTCCCTGCAGAGGTCTTAAACTTTCTTGGTTAAGTTTAGTACTAAGAATTTCATTTATTTTTTATCTATTGTCACTGTGATTTTTTTCACAGTTTATTTGCAGCAATATCATTAATGATGCATTAAACGGCTACCAATTTTGTGGGCTGATTTTTTCCTACAACTTTACTAAATTTATCAATTGTAATTCTTCTCTAGTACTCTATATAATAATCATATATTTCTAAAATGTCTACACCACCCCAATGTATAAAGATTTGGTGCACTCTCCATGGAAGGATTGATAAAAACATTTTTACAAAAGAATGACCGGGAAAAAGCTATAATTCCTATGAAAGTACAAGACATCCCAAACAGCAATCCTGAACCAAGCAAACAATGGAAGCATCACAGCACTCGGTATCAAACTGTACTGCAGGGAGCAGCAACCAGACCAGAACTGGCAAATACTCAAACCGACTGAAATGGGACACGAATACCAAAAATAAATCCAGGCCTTTACAGTCAAATGATCCTCCATCAAAAGAAAAAAAAAATATACACTGGAGAAAAGAATGCTTCTCCAATTACTGTTGCCCCCCCCCCACTTAAAAAAATCACGCACTATCTCTCACTGTGTACTGAGATAGCAACTAAAAAGGGATCAAAGACTTAAACATAAGGCATTAAACTAGAAAATCACTTGAAAGAAAATATGCTTAGGATTCAGGTTAGTGGTTCAGAATTAGGGAAATCCAAAGCAACAACAACAACAAAAGGACATATTTCTTATGGAACATTTATGATCACCTCTTTTTCCTTGAGTAAAGCTTCATGTTTTTCTTCAAGCCGCTTCATCTCAAATGCTAGTGTATCTGCCCTTTTAGATTCCAAGGACAACTTAGTGTGAAGGTCCTGAACCTTTGGGAGGGAAGAAAAGTAAAGCAAAATAGTTCATGAGACTCCTCGGCTTTCAGGGCTGAATTGGAAACAGACTTTTTAATTCTAAGTATTTCAAAAAACACAACATCAAAAAAAATGACATAAAATTCAAGAAACAGATTAAAATAAGTCAAAATATTTAAAAGTATTTTAATAATTTTCTAGGTTGTTTGATAAATAGCACAACAGAGTATTTCAAGAGAATCACTGTTTAGGTATTTGTCCAATTCCCAAAACACTGACAAACAACAGAAGCTCAACATGAAAAACTGAAGATATCAGAAGGTAATAAAAAGGTGAAGGACATAGGTAAGTCAGATTCTTTTTTTTTTTTTTTTTTTTTCGAGACAGGGTTTCTCTGTGGCTTTGGAGCCTGTCCTGGAACTAGCTCTTGTAGACCAGGCTGAACTCAAACTCAGAGATCCGCCTGCCTCTGCCTTCCGAGTGCTGGGATTAAAGGCGTGCGCCACCATCACCTGGCTGCAAATCAGATTCTTTATCTGTGACCTAAACTACAATTGTGGAAAGAAGAAATTCATCAGGAGCATACAACTTACTACACTCAACACTTCTGTATCACTGAAAAAAAAAAAAAAAAAAAGAAAAGAAACCGTAACACTGAACTTTTAATTTTTAACTTCATCAATGAGACATATAGATGTCTCTCACCTGGCGTTTATAGGTCTCTAGCTGTGCACGCGCTGCATTGGCCTTCTTGAGCTCCTCTTCCAAGCTCACAGTGTTGTGCATGTACATCATATTTGTCTCCTGTAAAGATTTCACCTGCTTGCGGAGGTCATTTAGGTCTTGTAGCTTCTGACGATACACCTCTACTGTTGACTCCAGTTTATTTGCTTTGTCTGAGGTAGCCCTGAATTAATAAAACGTGTATGCACACATATTTTGTTCTAGCTGTGAAATGAATATTCAAACAATAACAGAAACATAAGCCTAAAACCATTTCAAGTCAATATTTTTGTTGTAAAGTCATCAACTGTTAAAATACTTCTAATTTAGACTTTTAGCACAATCTATCAAAATGTATGATTTGGTACACATGACTAAATTCTGAGCTATCTGTAGTTCCCAGGCAAATTACATATATCATTTAGCAAACAGTTCTAAGTGTTTGATATGCTTACAAAGTTGAATCAGTGGACAAATTTGTCTGGCAAAGCATCTTCTTTAGAACTGTATTTATCTGATTAACTAGGCTAAAACAAAAATAAACTGAAAAAAATCAAAGTCCAAATTAATAGCTAAAATGATTTCTTTTCAAATGAATATTTAAAACAGAGAAAAAAAAGTCACATAAAAATACTAACAGAGGCCTAGCAAAACAGTCCAGTGGCTGAAGGTGTTCCCCAACAAGCCTGACGCCTGAGTTCAGTCACCAGAACCCACATGCAGAAGGAGAGCCAACTCCCACAAGGTGCCCTCAGGCCCCACAACATAGCAGGCAGCTAAGCATACATTTTATATCCCACAGACAATCCTGCCTGAAAGAAATGCTAGAATTCTTAGCTAGGCTTACTTTAACAAAACACAGTAATGCATACAAAATCAGTTAACATGTATTATTTCAAAAATGTAAGAACACATTATCATTTTGGGTTTACGGGTTCTGATATGAAACCGTCCTAACAAGAACTGAATGTTATCAAAGAAATACAAATCAAAACAACTCTGAGATTACTGTAAGAATGGCCAACATCAAAAACACTGATGACAACTTATGCTGGAGAGGTTGTGGGGTAAAGAGAACGCTCTTGATTGCTGGTGGGAGTGCAAGCTGGTACAACTCCTTTGGATATGGCGCGTTCTCAGAAAATTAGGAAACAACCTTCCTCAAGACCCAGTAATACCACTTTTGGATATAAACCCAAAGGACGCTCAATCGTACCACAAGGACACGTGCTCAACTATGTTCATAGCAGCATTGTTTGTCATAGCCAGAACCTCGAAACAACCTAAATACCCCTTGACTGAAGAATGGATAAGGAAAATGTGGTACATTTACACAATGGAGTACACACAGCAGGAAAAAAAAATGACATCTTGAAATTTGCAGGTAAATGGATGGATCTAGAAAACATCCTATTCAGTGAGGTAACCCAGACACAGAAAGACAAATATCATATATACTCACTCATAAGTGGTTTTTAAACACAAAGCAAAGGAAACCAGCCTACAGATCACAATCCCAGAGAACCTAGACAACATGAGGACCCTAAGAGAGACATACATGGATCTAATCTACATGGGAAATAGAAAAAGACAAGATCTCCTGAGTAAATTGGGGGCATGAGGACCTTGGGAGAGGGTTGAAGGGGAGGGGAGAGGCAGGGAGGGGAGCAGAGAAAAATGCATAGCTCAACAAAATCAATAAAAAAAAGAACTGTACGTTATTATATCTTTAAATATAGTTCTAATTAATGAACACAGAAAAGGACCAGAAGTCTAAACAAAAAGTGATCAATATATAGGAATAGTAAGAGTTCTGGTACGACTAGAAACCACTCAAGTTATTTGACCAGCAGCTTAGAAGCAGCACGAGTGCCCGGACAGGCCGTACCTAAGAACGTCTATCTCATCTTTCAGAGCTCTGGTTTCCTCAGCAAGGCTTGTCAGCTCATCATTCCTGTGCTGAAATTCAATCAGCTGCTTTTCAAGTTCCTCACAGTGAACACGGTAATCATCTTTTGCAGCTTCAAGCCTTAAAAGAAATAATTTTTAATATAGTTTCATCCTTTGTCTTCTCATTGAGATTTGAAGTTAGTACGACATACTTAAATTCTACTTTCAGAAGAGGAAAAATTCAAGTAACTTTTAGCCATTAACATTGAAACACAAATGAAAGGTGCAGAATGCTCTTAGTTTTCACTTTACCTTTTATGCATATCTGGTTCTAACTGAAATTTTAATTGGCAAAGAAAAATAAGGATATATAAATACAGTAATTTTTTTAAAAAATATTTATTTATTTATTATGTATACAATATTCTGTCTGTGTGCGTGTCTGCAGGCCAGAAGAGGGCACGAGACCTCTTTACAGATGGTTGTGAGCCACCATGTGGTTGCCGGGAACTGAACTCAGGACCTTTGGAAGAGCAGACAATGCTCTTAACCACTGAGCCATCTCTCCAGCCCTAAATACAGTAATTTTTTAAAAAATATATAAGGAAGTAAAATATGAATTCTAAATAGATTACCACAGATTCAGGACAAGCAGTTTAGGGCGTATTACTGTGTCAAAAGAAAGAGTACCTTTAAAGGACAAATGATTGACTTGGTCAAATCTAGGAGAGCAGCACATCCAAACAGAGGATGAAAGTGACAGGCTTAGCAGCCACTGAGCAAGAAGCAGTTAATGAAACCCTGGATTCCATTTTGAATAGGAAAAGTTATAAAGAAAATGAAACAACTGATTGTATCTGAAAATGCTTGGTAGTTTAGACAGGAACATCGTGTCAGTGACCATTCTCCTTATCATCACCACTACGCTGTGGTTTGCTGATTTTAGGAAACACATGCTAAAGCTGAGAGGGGGCTAAGGAATCTGCATCTCTCTAAACATCTGAGTGACTACATGAGTACTGACTGTGATAAGCAGAGAAAGCTTTGTAATAATAATACAACCATGAAACAGCTGTAAAAGACATGTAGGAAGGAGTTCCTTATATCCTGACAACTTTATTTTGCAAATTTGAAAGGATATGAAAATATATGTAAGGTACAATCAAAATGCTTGTCCTAAGGTCTTGGCACAAGGCTCAGTAGCCTGCCTGTCAGAAACAGCCAACCTTTACTAAAGGTAAGAGCTTGGGCTGTTTATTTTAAAGACAAAAGGTTAGCATGAAAAGCACCTTTTAAGCTTAAGATCTACATCCTTTCATTACTGTTACCTCACTTCTGTGGACATGCTCTCTCCAAGCCTCTGTGACCCCTCCCTCAACTCTGCCTGTCTCCAGCCAATATTCAGCTTATATCATTGAAGTCCTTGTTTTAATGTGCATATCCTACCTGGTTAATCTGACTGAACCCTGTAAAAAAGGCACTGCTGACACCATTTGGTACTTTTGTTAGGTGTACTTTAATCAATGTCCTAAGCATATATAATTCTCAATTATTGGCTATTGATAATTATGACTCTTTAGATATCAGTTTAATAAAACTCAGTAATTTCTACTAAAAATCCTACCTGTAGTTTTCTTCTTGTAATTGTTCTAGTTGTAACTGTGCATGAAAGTACTTTCTCGCGACCATCGTATTTGGGTCATCAAAAGAGCCATCCAACTGGTCAAGCTTTTCATTCATCATCTCGTTCTCAGAGACCAGTGAATTCTTCTCATCCTGAAGTGCAGTCACCTGAGAAACAAACATCAATAGAAAACCACCACTGACGAGCTGGGAGTTCGGTACTCTAATTCTGACTGAGGGATGAAACAGTCTGACCAATAGGTAAATTTTAAGGATTCTTCCACACTAGAATTCTGAGTACAGGAATTTTAGAATAAGAGAAATCAAATCAGTGTTTCTAAATCTAAATTTGAAGTTAAACAGTTTGAGGTCTAAGCTAATTTTCAGGATGCAGTCATTCTGTCAGCCTAAATTATCATTTTAGGTTCACAGTAGAAAATAACCATAGTCACATATCCTGGAGACAAGCATACTTGGTTAAAGAATCAGCTAAGAAAAAAAAAGCCAGCTAAAACGTTTTCATGTGCACAAGGAACTTGCTTATCTTGTAAAATGGGTGAGAGAAATGTAAATGTAAGTGGGTACTGGTAAGATAGCTCAGGGGGTGAAGGAGCTTGTTATCCAGGTATGCCGGCCTGAGTTCAGTCTCATGGTGAAAGGAGAAAACCAAGTCCTGGAAGCTGTTCTCTAACTAAACACACACACACACACACACACCCCAATCACACACACATTATGGGAGGGATTTCCACTGAGTACAGAGGTTAGAGGTCACTTCTGTGGAGTCAGTGCCTTCACTGTTACATAGGCTCTAAGGATTGAACTCACCCACCTTTACCAGCTTAGCCATCTCACAGTCTCCTTTACTTTATTTACTCTCTTCTCTAGAAGCCTCTCATTGTTGTCCTTTGGTGGAGTTCCTAAACTAATTCCTGTTTTGGAGCTACCTAATGGATGAATCTAACCCTTTAAAAATGAAACAGTGCTGCAGTTTGCTTTGTAAAACACACAAATGAGAAATATGGACAGGCTGAGAATATGACCCTAGGTGATAAAACACACACACACACACAACAACAACAATTTTCTGTTCTAAAGCCAATGTAGTCAGCCGTATTTGTCACATAGGAAGTTTACTGACTACCTCCCTGTCACAAATAAGTGATTCTAACACCAAAAGGAGAATGACCCTCAGAGTAGAAATTTAAGTACTTACGTAAGAGATGTTGGAGTTATTTAGACATAAACACGATAGGGTCAGAATGAGACAATAAAAGAATACAGATTGAGGACCCCTACTCTGAGCATCTGCATAAACATAAACATAATTACACAATAATGACATACTGCTAGCACAATGAGAAAGCCCTATGCTCAGGTTGAATGGGCAGCATTGTAGAACCAGAAGAAGCCACGGCAGCACTTAAGAAGCAATGACCACATCATCTGCTAATACTAAAGACTGCAGCAGTGATGCTATGCTCTGATTAAAATGCTATCATATGCTCTTTTCTGATGATTTTAGTTTTGTTTTGAGAAGAAACACCAGGAGCATCGAGAGAGCAGGAAGTGGGTACTCCTTGAGGTAAGGAGGCATGCTGCTGCACGGTTTTCAAACGTTTCCTCTGGAGCCATCCACTTCTCTGGTTTTAATACCTGCACTTAAGACATTTCATGTATTTTTTTTTCAGTGCTAACATCTTAAGCACCATTGTTATAATCACCTTGATTCAGCTACAGCTCTTTTATCATCAGTTAATAAATGAATAAATGGAGCCTCACTATCAACATTAAAAACTTCTAGGGGTATGGGGCAGAACCTCAAGTGTCACAGAAACATTTACAGAGACATGGTTTCAATACTCGGCAGTGCAAACACACACACACACACCCCTATGCTAACCTTTCCTGGTTTTATTGACAATTCTTCTTAAGGTTGTTTTTCAGCCATACAATGAGATAAAACATACTTTCTCACTTGGTGAGTGAGATCCTTCAACGTCACTACTTTGTTCCTATCATCACAGAATCACTAAATACATCAAGTTACATCCTCAGAGTACTTGGATACAAGTGTGCCACACCTGAACAACTATGTCTTTACTTAGTAGGTTCCCAAATACTTGTTCATGCCACATTTATTTAATATAGGAAATACATAAGACATATTCATATACATGGCAAGGCAAACATAGGAGGCTACATACATACATATATGGACATATAGATGAACCAAAGAATTACACTTTATTAAAAGGGTCATGCATCACTGAACAGAACATTAAATTATTTCACTTAATATTCAAAAACGACCATGCCAATGGAGACAATACATTAAGTCTTTCATTTCTTTAAACTTTATTTTTTTTTTTTTTTTTGGTTTTTCGAGACAGTTTCTCTATGTAGCCCTGGCAGTAGACCAGGCTGGCCTTGAACTCACAGAGATTTAAATGCCTCTGGCTCCAGGGTGCTGGGATTAAAGGCATGCACACCACACCCTGCTTAAATCTTCCATTTTTATAAAATTCAAACTGAATCCTAATACATTAATTAGCTGAAATTTTCCAGTTGGCATGCTTTTCTCCAAGACTAATGAAGTCAACAATTTTCAAAGCAGAGAAAAATATTTATACAACTCCTGTTTAAATGTTAAAGAATCATTTTAGTATCTCTTCCCTGAAATGCAAACCAACCTTCAGAACAGGTTACTAGTTTTAATTATTTAAATTAAAAAGAGTCCTCTCTGCTCAGGTTCCCGTGTCCATACCTGCATATCCAATTCCTGGCACCTTTGCTTTAGCTCTTCCTTTTCTGCTATGGCTTCCTGAAGCTCTTCTAGGGCCCTTTTAAGCTGAAACAGAAAGCACCATTCTCAGTAAATCAGGCTGAGTGAACCAGAAAATTCGTCTATCAACATGTGTATAGTGGTATTAGAAATCATGATTAAAAAATCATCTGTTAATTAATGAGCCTTCATGTGTTGCCTTGGTAGGACATTTGCATAATATAACTAATAATTTTAAAGATAAGGTTCCATAGAAATAAAACTTTATGAAAATTCTTGGGATATATTTTAAAGGTTATTAGAGATTTTACTTTTTAATTTCATTGCAGAAAATATGTTTTAAAAGTATGTTTATATTTAAACAAAATTTTTTCCATAAAAATCAATGTGAAATACTCTCTAAGATATCTAATATTACCCCAGGTTGTGGAGCGGGGAGCCAGAGGTTTACAAAAGAAATACCTAAAAATGCATTTGACCTCTCTTCACCCTTTTCCAGAACCACCCTGATTAACTATAAGAAAGGGAGAGGGGGAACTTTATCCTATGTAAAAAGTGCTGTCAACAAGATCCTGAGATTTGAGCTATTTCTTTAATCTCAGAGAAAAGGACAGAAGGTGTGTGTGTGTGTGTGTGTATCAGTACCGAAACCATAATAAAAAATTTTAGAGATTTTTAAAAAAATTATCTACTGTTTAATAGATTAACCATGTAGAAAGGGCCACACAGCTAGTAACAGGCTGGCTGGAATATTTAGTGCCACTGACTCTTGGAACAGGATCACAGAAAACACTAAAGCTGTCACTACTTATATTCACTACAAAACACATATTAGTATCCAAGTGGGATATTACTGCAAAGCATATTCAGTTCCACAAGAGGGATCATGCACGTGATTTTAAGTCTTGTAAAAATAGCTGATCGGGGAACCATGTCACCATCGCTAACTGTCTCCTCCCACAATGAAAGTCTTACCTGCTGCTCTAATTCTCCAACGGTGTCACCTGCAGGAGAGTTCACTATTTCTTTACTCATCAACTAGGAAATTAAAACAGCAAAGTTAAGTGCAATGGTGCAATGTTTATGAAAGTATCATAAATTGACTTATATTGAGCTTTCTCTTGCTTTAATTTACGGAACCTTAGAACATTGATCACCAAAAAAAAACTTCATTAGAGGTAGAATCAACTAAGAATTTTCAAGCATATTAGTGATAAGATTAAGAATAAATTACAGTGCAAGTTTTAAGAGACATTTTACTGACTATAAACACAAATATATTTTTTAAATAGGGATTCTTAAATTTCTTTTATTTTGTACTTTTTCTGGTCAGTGTTCTCATGAGGTAGACTAACCTGATTTCAAGTTTGTGTGCTCCATCAAGAGCAAGGATTACAGGATATATTATCACGCCCCTCTTAAAAATGACTCATATATCATAAATTAATGCTTTTTACCCAAGACTTATAACTGGAATTAAGAGCCAATACCCTTCTAGTATGTCTGATATAATCTTAAATTCGGGTTATTTGACTCTGAAATCTAAGCCTATAATTCTAAACGCACAATACAGATACACTAGGTTTTCAACCTTCCTAATGCTGGCCCTTTTTAATACAGTTCTTCATTCAGGCTGAAGTGACCTCCAACCATAAATTTTCATTGCTACTTCATAGCTGTGATTTTCTATTATTATAAATTGTATTGTAAATATTTGTGTTTTCCAAGAGTCTTAGACAACCCACAAGTCAAGAACCACTTCACTAGTGTCGGGAACACTGTCCTAGCTGGCAGGAAAAAGAGAGGAAATAGAACGTTCTACATGCAGAAAAGCTGATTATTTTGCTTTATTAGTAGAAGGTACTGAAAAGAATTTTTAGAGGCTGGGATTTAGATCCATGGAACAGCATCTGCCTAGCAATCATTAGAGCCTGGGTTTGGTGCTGAGCTCTAAATTTAAATAAAATTACTTTAAAATGCCGACTATCAGATGACTTTTAGAATTGGGGTTCTAAAACTGGGCTTGAAGACTTTTGACATTTTCTAAATGTTAAAAAATTTACACACAGTTTTGCATAACTTTGTTCAGCACACTTTCATACTCGTGTGAATGTGGTATCACTCACCTCCTGAATTGCAGTCATGACTACATGCTGAACAGATTCTTCCAGGGTCATTATATTTTTAATATGCTCTACAAATAAAAAATTAAACTTGAATTTAATTTAAATAAAATAAATTTGTTACATATAATTTCTTAACTACCTAATAACCAAAGTGTGAAAATTAATTAATCATAAATGATCTTTCATGCAAATACACTAATTCACTAGTATGTCCATTAAAGGCAAGATAAAAATTTTTACCCTTAGTAATTTAAATTTTTAACCAAAGAAGAAACCCTTTAATTTATCTTAGTAAAAGAAAAAATACAAGTAATATTAAAACAATTTATAATAACTATCCAATTTCAGATCCAGAAACTTCGATTGTACCATCTGTATCCCAGAGGTATGTATGCAGCCTTCCACAACACCTGCTTAGCATCCACTACTTCTCACAAGATGCAAGCTTTCCACAAACACACACAGTAAGAAAGTGACTCATCCAGGCAGGAAATGTGGGACCTTAAAGAATGCCTCAGATATTTGTAGACTTAAGTCCACTTCAACTGTACGTTCTTATCCAACTACTGTTCTTCAATGTATCCAAAATTTGTGTTTTACTGATTCTTTTAAACACTCCTGTAAGTCCTCTAAATCTTCCTTTTATTGCGATAACTAAGAATCTAAAATATTATGGTATGCACTTGACCACTAAATGCTAAGGAGAAAAAGAATTAACTAAAGAATGTACCAAAGACATAATGGTTTCCTTTAATGTTCTGGAGGGTGGAATGTTTCAAGTTTGCTGAAATCTATAAAAAAAAAAAAAAAAAAAAAAAACTTCGCCAAGTCCACAGCACAGCCAGCCCCTTGATGCAATTGTGCTCAGGAGGGTGCTAGCTAGCTATGGCTGGGCCCTTAAGGCAGCAGGAAGACATCCTGCCTGCAGCACCAGGCAGTTGGATCCCATTATGATGAGCAAATATGTTGGGGAGAAATGGGAGAGAAGCAGCAGAATAGATCATGTGATGGGGAAAGCGGCAGAACAGAAGAAATGAAGGCGGTGAGTAGGCTAATGTGGGAGACCTGCTTGCCACCCAGGGTTATGGTGATGTGGCCCATGTTACCACCAAAGGCCACAGGGATGTCCAGTGTCTAGGCTGCCACCTATGGCCATGTAGGTGCCCAATGGCCACTGCTGGAGTCATGCTGATCTGGTTGGCCTGTGCTGCCTACAAGGGCCACGTCTTAGTCCCTATGGCAGCCAGGGTCTGTGTTAATATCTGTGTCCCATTCTGCCATCAAAGGCCAACACAAGCCTCGAGTCTGGGCTGGCACCTGTGGCCTTGTTGTTGACCGAAGGCTGTGCCACAAATGGAGCCAAACTGGTCTGGGTGACTTATACTGCCACCCCAGAGCCCTGGTATGTCCAGGCCCAGGCTTGCTGCCAAAGGCAATGTCTGGGTCCATGGCCCTACAGCGGCCAGGGTCTGAAGTCAACATTTGTGGCTCTTGTTGCAACCAAAGGCCATGTGGTTACTTGGGATCTGGTTAGCCAACTGGGACCACGATGGTGCACAAGGGTCATGCTGCAGCTGAGGTCACACAGATCTGGGTGGTACATACTATTACCATGGTGCCAAAGCTGCAGCTGAGAGACATGTCTGGGTCCCTGGCCCTACAGCAGCCAGGGTCTGGGATGACATTCATGGCTTCTGTTGCTACTGAGGATTATGGATGTTCAGATCATGTTGGTGTCCAAGGGCCATGCTGAAGCCAGGTCATACAGATCTGAGTGGCCTGTGCTGCTGCTCATGTCCATGGCTGTTACCATTGAAGGCCACATGGAAGCCTGAGATCTGGGCCATGTTGGTGTCTGCAGGCCATGCTGCCACTGGGGCTGTGACAATCTGAGTGGCCTGCACTGCCACCTGGGGCAATGGGGACGTCCAGACCTGGCTGCTGCCAAGGACATGTCTAGGTCAGTGGTCCTACCACAGTAGGGGTCTGTGTTGAAGTCTGAGGTCTGTGATGCCACCAAAGTCACACAGAATCCCAGAGTTTGGGCTGCAAACTGTAGCCTTATTGGTGTCCGGGGGCCATGCCACCACCAGAGCCATCCTGATCTCAGTGTTCTGATCTGTGTGGCCAATGCTTCTACCCAGAGCAAAGATACTGTCCAGGCCTGAGTTGCTGCTGAGGGCCATGTCTGGGTCCAGGATGTCTGTGTTGATGACCTCAGGGGGTCATAGGCCATGCATGATGACACCAGGGGGCCAAGCTGAGCCAGTCCTGCCCTTCACTGGCCCTGCCTCTCTCTCTCTCTCTCTCTCTGGACACTGCAGCAAGAGAGCTGGCCCCCACACTGGGAGAGATGGGCCCACTCCTCACCACAGATGAGGGAAAACTGAGTCTGATGGCATGGGTATAGAGAATCTGGCTCTACCCTCTCACCTCAGGTATGTGGCTCCAATGGCCTGGACTGACCAGCTCAGCTACCACCCAGGCCTACATCTGGGTCTTAGGTTGGCCCACCCTAACATCTACTCCACCTGATGGAGCTCATGAAGAGACTGGTCCTATGGAACTACACTGGCAGGATCTCCAGGACTCAGACAGACAGGAGATGTCCCAGAGTTTTGGTGAGGACCCAGTGATGATGGTGCACCAGAAACCAGAGGCCTTGAACCAGACCAGTGACTCATTTCAATGAACATTTGCTAGTAAAGCGGATTGGACAAAAGGGTACATGGACTATGTGACACATCGCTCCCAATGCCACCAGGACAAATGAAGAGATGTTAGAGAAGCAGGAAAGATGGAGAATCAACGAGATGTTTCGTTCTTGTTTTTGATTGTTTGCTTGTTTTAACGTTCTTTTGAAGAGGTGCTGCAAAAGTGAGGGGCGATATGGGGAACCTAAGAGGTGAGTGGGATTAGGGTGCATGAGGTAAGATTTTTTAAAAATCAATCAAGAGGGGCTAGAAAGATAGCTTAGCGGTTAAGCGCTCTGACTGCTCTTCTAGAGGACCAGGGTTCAATTCCCAGCACCCACATGGCAGTTCACAACTGTCTGTGACTCCAATTCCGTGGGATCTAACACCCTCACACAGACATATATGAAGGCAAAAACACCAATGCATATGAAATAAATAAATTAAAAAAAATCAATCAAGAAATTATGTTTAAAATAATCTTTCTGTTTGAGAAAGTTATTATTAATAATTAAGCCAATTGTCACTTCAAACCACAAAAGTGCAGAAGTTGCTTGATATCATCAAATTCAGGGGGTTCATTTCTTGTATTTTTTGTTTTTGCTTTTCCTATTTTCATTCCTTCTACAGCTCTGATGGAATCTAGGGTTCTGCATGACAGACAAGAGCTCTACTACGAGGCCATATCCTCAGCCCGCTAGCACACTTTATTTAACTATTCAAACCTAATTGTTAAGCCAGACACATATTTTGGAAGAAAGACTGTTTCCTCATATGGACTGCTTAGTAAACTTTCACTTGTATCTTCAGGAACTGAATTTCCTTTCAAAACTATGAAGACAAGAATATCTAGTGATGCTTAGGTCTAAATTATGACTAAGACAGTAGATAAAGTTTGCAGGATGCAACAAAATCATCAAACACCAGGGAAAAGTATAGCTTACACTGCCAATCATGGCTTATAATAGAAGATGAATTTACAAGAAAATGGAAGAATGCAATACTAGAAAAAAATAAATAATACTTAAATGAAATAGAATCAAAGCCAAATGTAACTTTTCTGAAAATGAATTATGTCTGAAATTTTGGAAACATAAATTAGGCAAAAAATATGCTACAAATAGCTAGAAACTAAAATAGAAGAAAAGTATTAATCAAGGAATAAAAAGAGCCAAACTGTAACAAAAAGTACTATATTTAAACCTGAATTATTCCTTGTCAAACTGTGAATAGCCAGAGACATTTTAACCTATATGAGTAAAGATTTAGTTTTCACAAAAAAAAAAACCAAACACAACATATAGATCTTTAATGCCCCCAGCATTAACTATAGAAAAAGTAGTTACTTGCCCTCTGAAAGGCATGTGAGTGTATATATATTTTATAAACTACAATTGATTTTATTTTATATTTCTTGACCTTGGACTTACTGAATTTATCTGTCCTTTACCCTTTCTTGAAGACAAAGAAGTCTTTATGAAGGCCATGTACTAAGACCAGGCTCTGGCAAAGCTCTTCCCACCCAAGATGTATAAGAGACACAAGATGGACAAGGCACACAGATAGACAAGGTACACAAGATGGACAAGACACACAAGATGGACAAGACACACAAGATAGACAAGGTACACAGGGTGAACAAGAGACACAAGACTGACAAGACACACAAGACTGATGAGCCCCCACAGGGAAGGAGACTCACTCTACTCAGCTTTGTGACATCTCATGCTCAGCAGCACAAAAATTGCAATGTGTACATATACTAGTGTAATGCATGGGTTCCATTAATATGTGAACTATTCCACTTCTCAAAAGAAAACAGTGGACAGGTTTCTTTTAAACACAGCAGGTATTATTTGAGGAAGTCTGGGTTATACATTTATTAGCTTAATATTTTATTATAAAAAATTAAATGAACCTAACATTCTATCTTGTGTCCTAAATACCAGGCATCGATGAACTAAATAAACTTAATTTGGCTCCTGACCACCAGAACATAGGACACTTAAGAGCTGCATGACAGATGACAGGGAGGTCTAGAATTTAGATCGAGTTAGTGCAAGGTGATTTCAGGCACTCAGCAGCAGGAAGACAACCCCTTCCTGTGAATGTCAGCACTAAGAACTAGCAAAGCAGAAAGTTTCTAGAAAGTGGGAACCTCAAATGTCTAAAACTTGCTTACCTTGCTTCCTTTCACAGTTGACTGCACAGCCTAGAATAAGCTGAAGCAACCTCCCAAGCTCGACAGGGTCTGAACACTCAGTTATTTGGTTTAAATCAGGAATAAGTTCTTCAGAAATCTGCTGCCCCAAAAACTGAAGAATCAAATGATATATTAGATCACTGAGTTAAGTAGGCTACAGAGAATTTACATTACTACTTAAAGAAAAATTAAAATAAGTTCATAAAATAACTTAAATTAAAAAAACCACAACTCAGTGTTATTGACTAAAACCAAGATAGCAATATTCTGGCACCTTCTCAATATTCAGAGCCAATTGTATTTGTTTTTGCTTGCTTTTACTATCAGAAAAACAAGGATTTGTTAGGAAGAACCTAGGCTACCTTACTCTAACAAAAATGCTTTCCCAGTAAGCAGTAAACAGGATTATGCTAGCTCAAAATAGAAAGATATTATTATTAAGAAAGGCAGTTATTCACACAATGAAGAAAAGACAGACTGAAGAGTATCTGCAGTAGTATGTATCACAACATCAACTACCACACTTTTACAAATGAAAAACAAATCCAATGGATTTAATTTTTTTCTTCCCCTTTTTTACTTTCTTGAAGCTTATTAAAAAGTTATAAGGATTCTGGATGTGTAAAGCACACAGAAAATTCTCATAGTAGTATTAAAACTTTTCCAACAAACTTTCAAGTTTATTTCTGTGCCATTAAAAAAATAAAGAAAAATTTTAACTATCCTCCTGATTATGGGAAGTAGACAAGATTGCCGGGCAAAAAATGGGATCTTGGGGGTGGGGTGCGAGGGGGGTAAGGGGAGATGGGGAGAGAAAAGTGAGAAGGGGAGGTTGGGGGGAACTTGGGAAATGGGATGTTTGGGATAAAGGAAGGT